ATGAGCTAAGAACTTACGTTATAGGAACACAGCATATCCCTCTACATACATATATAGTGATAGAGGTGGCAGTTAATGTTGCTGATGCCATTGATTATTACTAGGTCTCAAGCTTAAGTCATTTCACTCTCTAGGTATGTAGGGATTTGACATAAGGAGAAAGTGTCCAAAGTGTCCCTGATGCCTGGAGGCTTATGGCCCAGAGAAAGGAGACAATGTCTTGTTCACCCCAATGCAAGACACAATAGGATAAATACTAAAGGTGGATAGCAGAGTTTTAATAGGGAGAGAGTTTGGTGATGAGAGGAGCCACTGTCTGTGGAGTCTCTCTGTGTTTATCTCATTGATCTCACCATCAACACTTTTGAGACTTGTTGATAATGCACCCCATTTTGTATACACAGTAACCATCTTTGAGATGGGAAGGGACTTCCTCCAGCATCCCACAAATGGTAGCACCCAGTAGTGAAGCTCAAGTCTGTCAGATTCTGCAGCCAATGCCTTGTCCTACATCATGCCAGGCTCCCCACTTCATAAGCTTCATCCTAAGTCTACCCGCTTTGTTTTTAAAAAATTATGTGTATGTGGGGCTAGGAAGATGGCTCAGTGGTAGAATGCTTGCCTTGCATGCATGAGGCTCTGGATTCAATTCCTCAGCACTACATAAGCAGAAAAAGCGAGAAGTTGTGCGGTGGCTCAAGTGGTAGAGCCCTAATCTTGAGCTGAAGAGCTGAGGGGCAGCACCCAGGCCCAGAGTTCAGACCCATGACCAACCAAAAAAAAAAACTGTATGTGCACGTGTGTGTGTGTGTGTGTGTGTGTGTGTGTGTGTGTGTGTGTGTGTGTGTGTATGTGTGTATTTTTTGGGGGGAGGGGGCTGGTACTGGGGTTTGAATTCTGAGTCTGGATACTGCCCTTGAGCTCCTTTTGCTCAAGGCTAGCACACCACCACTTAAGCTATAGCACTACTTCCAGCTTTTCCTTTGACTAAAAAGACTAAAAAAAAGACTAATTATAGTCTCATGAACTTTCCTACCTAGGCTGGCTTTGAACCGTGATCCTCAGAACTCAGCTTCATGAGTAGGTAGGATTACAGGGATGAGCCACCAATGCCCTACTGTTTTTGAACAGTGTCCTCTCCTGTGAGGTTACTCTGGCTCATTTCCCCTACCTTCCCATCTGACTGTTAGATAGCTAAGGAGAGGTCCAAATCAAGGTAATAAAGAACACCTTCAAAAAGAGAAACCATAGAGGGAAAACCTCAAGCATAGATATTGCAGAAAAAAAGTTAGGACTCTGAACATGCCAGCATAGTCATCCTGCTAGTTTTCCTGTTGTTGCAAATTCTAGGAACAGAGAAGGTAGGCCTCACTCACTTTGACTCCAAAGAGATGTCACCAGGTTTCACATATAACTCAGGAAGGATTTGAACAGAAATTTAACAGAATGTCCTAGAGCTGGAAAAGCTACTTCCCTGGACCAAATTGAGGGTGTGTGTGTGTGTGTGTGTGTGTGTGCGCATGCGTGCGTGCGCATGTGTGTGTGTGCGTGTGTGCGCGCGCACGTGCGAAGACTGTAAAATGGACTTCTAGAGCTTCCCACCTAGCTGCTGGGCTGCAGCTATTCTAGGGCAGATTGTGGGGGCACAGCCAAGTTGCCTGCTGGTATAGAAGAGAGACTTAGTATGTGTATTTTTATTATGGGCCATGGGATGTGTAAAAATTCTCATATCCTTGGATTTATATCAAAGAAAGCAGTGTGATGTCTAGGATAAAATGTGGGCTTGGCAATTAGACATCCTGGAAACTCAGTGTCTCTTTTGCTGTGTGATACTAGGCAATTGCTTTTCTCCTCTTTTTTTTTTTCCTTCCTTCCCTTCTCTCCCTCCCTCCCTCCCTCCCCCCTCTTTCTTTCTTTCTTTCTTTCTAGTCCTGGGGCTTGAACTCAGGGCCTGGGAACTGTCCCTGGGCTTCTTTTGCTCAAGGCTAGCACTCTACCACTTGAACCATAGCACCACTTCTGGCCTTTTCTGTGTATGTGGTACTGAGGGCTTCATGCATGCTAAGCAAGTGCTCTACTACTAAGTCACATTCCCAGCCCTGCTTTTCTACTCTTGGGCTCAGTTTTTCACATGTAAAACTGAGAGTGTTAACTATTACTTCCTCATTTTTAATGAGATTTAGCTTAGTGCCTGGTCCACAGTAACATCTTGATGAATTTTTGTTGTTATTGCTAATATTCTTAGCAATTTGATTAGAAGTAGATTCAAGAATATTAAGAGAATACATAGTAATCCAGGATATGGAATGTGCTAATTTTTCACTGCATCTTAGAGCATATTAAGATATATTAGCATAAACTTGTTGTATGATCCATAAGATTAAGATTTTTTTCCCTTGTCCTGGGTCTTGAACTCTGGGCATGGGTGCTGTTGCTAAGCTTTTTTTTTTTTTTTTGTCAATCATGGGGTTGAACTTTGGGCTGCGCACTGCCCCTGAGCTCTTCAGCTCAAGGCAAGCACTCTACCTCTTGAGCCACAGCACCACTTCTGGTTTTCTGGTGGCTAATTGGCGATAAGAGTCTCACAGACTTTCCTGCCCAGGCTGGCTTTGAACTGTGATCCTCAGATCTCAGTCTCCTGACTAGCTAGCATGACAGGCATGAGCCACGGGGCGCCCAGCCTCCTAAGCAACTTTTGCTCAAGGCTGACATTCTACTACTTGAGCTACAGCACCACTTTCAGCTTTTTCTATGATTAACTAGAGATCAGAGTCTCATGGACTTTCCTGACCAGGCTGGCTTTGAACCTTGATCCTCAGATTTCAACCTCCTAAGTAGCTAGGATTATAGGCATGAGCCACCAGCACCGGGCTGAGATTAAGGTTTTAAACTTGGTCATTGTGTTCCCAGTTTAATTAAGTTTGTCCATTACACAGTGGTACTCAGTAAATGTTTGTTAAATGAATGCTTCCAAAGCCAAGCTCCTACCTGCTTTTGTGGCTTTGCACATGCATGCTGCCGTGTATGTTCTCCTTAACCTGCTCAGAGTTCCTTTATATTCTCTCCCTCTTTCTCCTCCCCCCCCCCCCCCACACCTCTTGCTGGTCCTGGGGGTTTGAACTCAGGGGCTGGGTGCTATCCCTAAGCCTTGTTCAAGACTAGTGGTCTACCACTTGAGCCACAGTTCCACTTCTGGCTTTTTAGTTGTTAGTTAGAGCTAAGAGTCTCATGGACTTTACTGCTTGTTCTGGCTTCAAACTGTGATCCTCAGCTCTCAGCCTCCAGATGATTATAGATGTAAGCCACCAGCACCTGGCTCCTTCATTCTTTAGGACTCTTCTAAAACTTCTTTGTACCACTTCCTACCCTCATTTAGGTCAGGCTCTGTATTTCTCTCCCAGACTCCCAATCCTTTTCTTTGCAATAGTCTTTAAAATTCACAATTATACATCCATTTGTCCATAGGTGTTCAATCTCTGACTCTTACAACTGACCATAAACTTGCAAGTGTGTGTGTGGGGGGGGGGGGGGGGAGAATCAGCCTTATTTATTGATTCTCAGCCCCTCTATGATGCCTGGCAAGCAGCAAGCATTGAGTCTGTTCTGGTTGAATGCTCCTGCAGGATCTAAAAGAGGGAAAACTTGGACTGAGTCAGTTGGGACAGAGTTTCTGCTCATCTGTAAAATTGAGATGAAGACAATACTGCTTAACCCCTTATTCTCCTTGACCAAATAATGGCTGAGATCCAACAAGATCATTTTGTTAAACTGTGTTGTAGCCTAATGGACAGATATTCATTATCCATTCATTTATTTACTTGTTCCTTTCTCCTCTATGTCTATCTCTAGTGCTTTGTACCAGGCTGGAATATGGTGTGTATATGAGGAAGGACCAAACAAATGATGGCATCCATTAGGTGGCTGTCTTGAATGGGTTAAATTCATAAGGGAAGAAAGGACTGGGAAAGAAAGAGAAGGGCAATTAAATTTGGGCTGTTTGTTATACGTAGCTTTTGTTCTGTTCATTCTTTGTATTCTGTGGAAGAAGAATTTGAACTATTCCTGTGTGATATGCTTTAGGCCATGTTCTTGTCAAGGGTTCACATTAGCTTCCCACATTGCTGATGGTGCCCACTCTTGCTAGCTAGAAATAACATGGGACTCATTTTGCAGTGTAGCCACTGGAAGGTTTGTTGCCTTCCCTTCACAGTACTGCTCCTCTCCCTGGGTATCCTCTGGCTGGCCTCACACACCAGAGAGCCCTAAATATTCTGGCTTACTTTATGGTTTTTAGTTCAGCTGATCATTAATATCACCCTCTTGTCCCCTTCTGAGTTTCATGGCCAGGAGGTCAAGGCTCCTCCAAAGAAAACTGGCTAATTATATCTCTGTCTGAATAAAATCACACAAGGGGAGCAAAGCAGTGGCATATAAATGAAGGGTAGGAGCAGGAACCACTTCTGTTTGAGGATTTGTTTCCTTTCAGCTGAGCCTCCCTGATTTGAGCGAAACAAGCAGCCACCCTCATTCAGTGTGTTGGATTTTGGCGCTGCCAGTGGAGTGATAGGAAAGCAGCAGAACAAAGGAAAACAGGAGAGAAACTGGATGCTGGTTAGAGATTTAACACCAGAGCTGGAGGAGACCTGTCTCCAAGTGGCAGAGTTGTTGGCTGAATTCCCAAAGCATTTTCTTCTCTGCAGGCTTTGCTTTCCTCCTAGGCTTCCTTTCCTTCTTTTCTCCTGCTTCTACTCTCTCATTTTCCTTCCTCATGTGAAATGACGTATTTATACTCTTTATTTAAACGCATGAATAAAAATGCCTTTCTAACAAGATAATCAGAATATGAAAGGCCAAACTTTTTAAAAGTACTTACCAATGTTTTTTTTTTTTTTTTTCTTTAACTAGTTCAGCATATTAGCTTTTTTTTTTTTTGCTTTTGGGGTGAAGGACTCCCTAAAATGGGACTGGGGAACACTAATTCCAGGAGTGTCTATCCACAGACTGACGCTGAGAAGCACTCACAGGTGGAGAGGAATTCCCTGTGGTCTGGTGATGACATCAAGAAATCAGATGGAGGGTCAGACAGCGGCATAAAGATGGAGCCAGGATCCAAGTGGAGGCGGAATCCTTCTGACGTGTCAGATGAGTCTGACAAAAGCACATCGGGCAAGAAGAATCCTGTCATCTCCCAGACAGGCTCCTGGCGGCGAGGCATGACAGCCCAGGTGGGCATCACTATGCCAAGGACAAAGCCAGCTGCCCCAGGAGGCACACTGAAGACCTCGGGAACTGGTGAGTTAGACACCATCCGCAATGAACTGTTTAAAAGCTGATGCTATAGTAACCCTAGCAAGGATTTGACTTAACCAGTTACCTCTTTGAATTGCTAGGAACTGGCTTTCTTCAATGGGTATGTGTGCCTACAGAGGCCTACTGTTTGGATTAATTTATACTACATGAGTCTGACTCCTTGCCAGGTGGCAGTTAACCCAGGGGGGCAGGCTCCTCATGAGTATGTTGATACATTGTATGTTGTCCACAATTTAAGATATGTATGTAAACAAGGGTAGGAGCTCACCCAGGAAATGTCAGAGAGAGTGTAATTGGCAGAGAGTGAAAGGTCAGTGAAAAGCAGTGTTTCTCTGCCCCCCACCCCTCTTAGCTGTCTTTGTTTTATCTGGGATCAATTTAGACTGTTTTGCAAATGAATAAAAATGTCACTGGCAGTTACTAAAAGGCTCACAGTGACTGTGGGAGACTAGATTATCTTGGTCTAAAGCTCCCTTCTCCTCCTCCTTACTTCTCCCCCCTTCCCCAGGAAAGAGTCAGCTTTTTTCAAAAGAGGGAAGCATTTATAAAGCTAATCTTCTTGATTTCTCTCTTAGGAAAAACTGATGATGCGAAGGTGTCTGAGAAGGGAAGGCTTTCCCCGAAAGCTTCCCAGGTGAAGCGCTCCCCATCAGATGCAGGCCGCAGTAGCGGTGATGAATCCAAAAAGCCTCTTCCCAACAGCTCCAGAACATCCACCACCAACACCAATAGCTTTGGGTTCAAGAAACAGAGTGGCTCAGCAGCTGGGTTGGCCATGATCACAGCCAGTGGGGCCACTGTCACCAGCAGGTCAGCTACACTAGGAAAAATCCCAAAGTCCTCTGCTCTAGTTGGCCGGTCTACAGGCCGAAAGACGAGCATAGATGGCACTCAGAACCAGGACGATGGGTATTTATCTCTCAGCTCCCGGACAAACTTACAGTACCGTAGTTTGCCAAGGCCAAGTAAGTCCAACAGCCGAAATGGGGCTGGAAACAGGTCTAGCACCAGCAGCATAGATTCCAACATTAGCAGCAAGTCAGCAGGCCTGCCAGTGCCCAAGCTGAGGGAGCCTTCCAGAACAGCCCTCGGCAGTTCTCTGCCAGGTCTGGTCAACCAGACAGATAAGGAGAAAGGGATCTCATCAGACAACGAGAGTGTTGCTTCTTGTAATTCAGTGAAAGTGAACCCGGCTGCCCAGCCTCTGTCCAGCTCAACTCAGACCACTCTCCAACCAGGGACAAAGTACCCAGATGTGGCCTCTCCCACACTACGCCGGTAAGTGGGCAAATACATGGAACCCAGCAGAGTTGGAGTAGATAGAATGGTACCTCGGGTTAAGAATTTCCTGTTCCATAGTTGTAGCAACCTCTGTGTCTCCTCCATTCAGACCCTGGGTAAAGCTGTTATGTCAGTCTCTGCTAGCAAGTTTGTAGTTGGTTGGATGATAAAACACAAACCTGTGTTCCAACTTCTGAGTCTATTTTAATAGCACCATATCACCTTGCTAAATTCTGACTCCGTTTCCTTATCTGTATAATGAGAACAATGGTACTTTTTTTCTAGATTCTCATAAAATTCTCATAAAAATTCATCTTAGTCATGTCTAGCCATACGGAGCTCATTTGGTGAAAGTTAGCTATCATCTAAGATGAAGTCTCAGTAAGCTCTTAAATTAAGGATAAATAGCTCAAAGGAAGCAAGTAATTCTTTTCTTTTTCTTTCTTTTTTATTACCTATGAAACAAAAATTCATTCCTGAGATAGAATTACACTTTATCATAATCATTGTGTTTTACATCCCATGCATAACTTCAGTTTAGTATCTGATATTTAAAAAAAAAAAAAAAACTCTTAAAGGAGAACTCTTTCAAAAAGAAGAAAATACTTTCTTGTTACCTGAAGAAGGCATTATTTTCCCACATTACCTAATATGGAAATAAATATTTACTGTTTGTTCATTTTTAACAGTTTTTTTTGTATCTTGCCTGTTAACATTTGCTTCATAGATATCCTTAATGTGAAAGACTCACTTTGTTTTAAAGTTTTTAAAAAACCTTAGCTATTCAAATTATCTTGCTGTTCCCTGGTCCATCCTGAATCATAGCTGTGTAGGTTAGAGTGCATCTTATCTTCCCAGGAAATTTCTTGTCATGGAAAAGAGTAAGCTCCTAGGATGAAAAACTAAGCAGGGGGAAAAATTATATGCACATGTATATATTTGGGGATGAACAGGAATGTTTGAAAAGACTTCAGAAGAAACATTCCACATGAAAGGTGTGATGAAGCCAGCTGTTCTGTGTGCGTTGTCTAGACTTGATTATTAGAATTCAGTAACGATTATTTTTCAGAGGGAAAGTCCTATTGAACCACTCTTTGTTGTTTTAACAGATTGCCTTGTAAATGAAAATTTTTCTCTGCTTCTTGCCTCAAGTATTATATGTAATATTCTCTCTCCAGTGTTATAGATTTCCTTTGCTGACTACAAAGGCATTTATTGGACCCTCAGGCTAGTGTAATAGGACACATGAAAATGTATGCAGTTCCTTATACACTCCATGGAGGAACTATCAGCCCACTCCCTGTGAAGCTCACTCTCCCTAAATCACCAGAGTGTTCATAACTCACTTGTGTGTATTAGTATAGAGAAGAGAAGCCTTCAGTGAATGAGATAGATAACTCTTCACATGATCTGAAGTACTCACAGAAAGAGACTGTGGTTATACATTAGCAGCATAAGGAGAAATTGCCTAAAAGTCCAAAAAAGATGGATCAGCTTTTGGCTTTTTAACAATTAAGATAGCTTACCAATGGAACAAGTTACTCTTTAGTAGTGAGGTTCCTGTCACTGGAAGTATGTATATGTTCTAAAGCAAAGATTCTACAACAGGACATTTCATTATTATCACCAGGGGAGGAGTATTTCTCCTCTACCACCATATAATGTAGTAGGAATTGGTTGATTAACTATACATTTGCTTGTCTTTATAACAGTTAAGATTTGTAGACTTGTTGGGAGACAACAAGGTTAGATTGATACCACTCCAGGTGAAAGGCAAGCTGCCTATCATGATGTAGTTTTGTCATTTTTCAGATATACTTTTTCTACTCACTAGTTTTGATGGGTGAAATAAAGCCCTTGTATTACTGAAATATGGTCTACCCTCTGACTTTTCACTAGGGAGTTCCCTGCCAATGTAAGATGGAGTACTTTTTACTATTCTCTGTACTTATGGCAGACTTTTGGTCATGAACAGAGGAAAGATGAAGGAAATGGCATTTCTCTGTGTCAATTTTAGACACATGGTTTGTACACAGTATGTTTGAGCTAATGTGAACCTAGCAAACTTTCTGTGTAGGTCACTGGAAAAAAACAAAACAAAACAATAACTAAACTCTCTGGCCCAGAAAGATACTTTTCAAGTTGGCCTTTCCATTGAGGAGAAATTTGTGAAGACACTTTCCCCAGACCCTAACCAGATCTAGAATCATGGTCCTTTTTTTTTTTTTTTTCCTAGTTTTGAGGCTTGAACTCATTCTACACTTGAGCCACAGTACCACTTCCAGTATATAGATAAGAGTTTCATGGACTTTCCTGCCCGAGCCCACAATCCTCAGATTTCAGCCTCCTGAGTGGCTAGGATTACAGGTGTGAGCCACTGGCTCTTGAATAGAATCATGGTCTTGATTCCTTGTGCTGTGCTTAGAAATCAAAGAACCAAATCCCCTAGAGCTCTGTTTACCTGACCTGAGTGACTGCTTTGTGCCCAGTATTATGGATTGAAGATGACTTAGAAATTGTTCCATCTCGATATTTGCTGGGTTAGGGCAATTTTTTTAGTTGGTATATTTATAGAAAGATCTTGGAGCAGTATTAACAGGCTTATAAAAAATGGATCTCATTTTCCTGGGCTAAAATAGAACCAAAGTCTCAGCTGTAGTCTAGAATTTGAAGAAAGCCTCTTTGATACACCTGTGTCCAGTCCCACTTGATGACCAGCCTTTCCCAGTGGAGTCCCTTAGTTATTTAAGCAACAAAGACTTTTTGGGGTCATACTGCCTCTTATGCACCATCCTCTTCAATAGCTTGGTGCCTCTTGGCACTGGGTGTTCATCCCACACAACCCTTTGTCTCTTCACAGACTCTTTGGTGGGAAGCCTACCAAGCAAGTGCCCATCGCCACAGCTGAAAACATGAAAAATTTGGTGGTCATCTCCAATCCTCATGCCACCATGACCCAGCAAGGTAACTTAGAGTCCCCCTCAGGCAGTGGTGTCCTGAGCAGTGGCAGCAGCAGTCCTCTCTACAGTAAGAATGTGGACCTCAACCAGTCTCCTCTAGCCTCCAGCCCCAGCTCTGCCCACTCGGGCCCTTCCAACAGCCTTACCTGGGGCACCACTGCCAGCAGCTCATCAGCAGTGAGCAAGGATGGCCTGGGCTTCCAGTCTGTTAGCAGCCTGCACACCAGCTGCGAGTCCATTGACATCTCCCTCGGCAGTGGAGGAGGCCTGAGCCACAATTCCTCCACTGGCCTGATCGCCTCCTCAAAAGATGACTCTCTGACGCCCTTTGTCCGAACCAACAGTGTGAAGACCACACTGTCGGAAAGGTTGGTACTGTACCCCTGGCTGCTTTTATCACTCAGGAAGACACTCTCCTCAGGGTACAAAGATTAGATTAAGAGTCCCAGATGTCACTTAGCCTTTGTTTATGAGATTTCACTCTTTCTAATTACTGTTCTTTCATGGGTAAGCCAGTGTGGGATGGAATTTAGCTTGGCTATACCTCTTGTTATCTTTTTCCCTGCGATTATTCTTGATGCTTGAAGCTGCTAAAAGTCTCTTGGGGGACAAATCTGTGTTACCATTTAGACTGGCATTCTGCTTTTGAAATCCTTCCATTTTATTCTGCTTATTCATCAGCCATTTCTTTCCCCTCCCCTAGTAGTTGGGCAGCATAGGTGACTTCATAAAGTCATAGAATGTATGGTTGAAAGCCTACTAGGCCACTGGATCCATTTGATATCATGGCAAACACTCTCCTACTGAATTGCTGCTGGCTACAGTGAGAGGAGATCATGAAACTGAAGTCCTCAAGTCCCTGCCGTAGTGATAGTGTGTTGTTTCTGCACACGGGGAAGAATGCTGAGATCAGCACTGGGAAATGTTCTGATCATTATGTGTAACAACACCTCTCCTTTCTTCAGTCTAATGTTGCTTCTCTTGTTTTCTACCTACCTGGACTTCTAGCCCTCTCTCTTCCCCTGCTGCTAGCCCTAAGTTCTGCAGAAGTACTCTGCCCAGGAAACAGGACAGGTAAATGACATTGTAGGCTGGGGCCCACCAGACCTCTAGGTTCCTCTGCCTGTCTATTGTCCAGTCAGATGTTTTGTGCAAGGCTGTTGGCCTGAGGCTTCTGCTTGTGTTTGTGGCTCTGGTGTACCGTGTGACAGCCATACATGCTGGTGAGGGTCTACTCTGTTGTCCCCTAAAGCCAAGGGGAGGTGAAGTTGGATGGCCCCTCTTTCCCAGCTTGGAAAAGGCCACCTCAAACCTTGCCACCTGATCCAGGGGCTTCAGAAGCTCTCACTTGCATCTCCCATGGCCTCCTGTGGCATGTTCCTGCTTCCCAGCTTCCTGCCCTTTCCTCCCCCTACCCCAGCCCAGAAATGGTCTACCACCCACTGTGTAGCTTGGCCCTCACCTCTGCCCCCCTCTCCTACCCCTCCACACTCCCCTCACAGCTGGCTCTTCTCCCTTTCAAAGTCTTTTGTTGCAGTTTGGCTCATTATGTTGTGCAAAATGTCGTGTTGCTTGTGCCCATATCCTGTAATGATAATGAAAAAGAGTTTGTGGAGCCTTTACAAATGAAGAAGCTTGTGTTTGCCCCCAGCTGTGGGTGGGCCTCAGAGATAGATATTGACCTTAAATTTGTGGGGGAGCAGTGGTTTGGCCAAATATAACAAGCAGATGTTGTTACATGCTAGGGGGAAAAAAATAATGGAAGCCTTCTTCACCCTATCAACAGCAAAAGCTTTATTTTTGTCAGACTTACAAACCAAGCCTTTAAACCCTTGTGCATGGAAATCCAAATGCCCTGACTATATTGGCCAGCATGTTGTAACATGCCCTAACTCCAGCCCAGGGCTCAGCTCTTAGCTACATCTTTCCTAGGCAGAAACAAGGAGAACTTGAGAGGGACCTGGAATTTACTTCATTACACATGAATTTCAAATATGCAGACTGTTGGCCTCTTGAAACTCTGCAAACCCCTTCACCCTCTTAAAGCCATTGCCAGTGGTGTGGGAGGGGGTAACTTAGGGGTACAGGAAGTCAGGCATCCCTTTTTGGAAGCAGCTCTGGTCGTGGTGGTGGTGTGGCAGAGTTGAGCTGCTGGGCTGTGCTTCTAACAGGGCAACCCATGTTGCCTTTGAACATGTGGAAAAAGAGGAATAAGTAGAGTTGAGTAACTTGGGGTAACTGACGACTTGGTTGGTAAAGTATGCACTGATGCCAGCTCAGGCCAAGGATTGTTTTTGTTTTGTTTTGCCTACCTATGTGTGTTGCATGCATAGTTGAAAAAGAACATTCTCTGGTGATGGGGGGTTTCTTTCTCAGGACCCTCTGCCTCTGTAGCCTTCTCTCCTGTCATTCCCTGCCTTCCTTGTGCTTCTCTGAAGTTCTTGTTTTTGTTTTAACTTTCCTACAGTGACCCGCACCTTGATAGGAACACTTTGCCTAAGAAAGGACTCAGGTATCTGTCCTCTCCTTGTACCCATTGCCATCTGTTGTGGCCTTGAGCTTGGCTGTGTGGCTCTCATAGCTGGTGGGGCTGGGCTGGGGTCTCTGCTTTGGCCATTGCAACAGGACTTTGGATGACAGTTCTCTTGGCCCCTCTTGTTCACATCTCTCATTTGTGGCTTATTTGCTTGAGCAGGAGCTGTGCTGTTTCTGGCTTAATGTGATAAATCATCTCATGACAAACACTCCTGGGCAAGCCTAAAAAGCAGTCACTGCTTCTGGTGGGGACTAGTGGGTTTAATCACCAAGCACTTCATAATCATTGTATTCATGTAACCGTTTCCAACAGAAAGGACACGACTTATAGCATGCTGATTTGTTAGCCAGAACAAGGGCAAAGGAAGAGAAGATTATTTCCTCTAAATTTAATGATATTTAACTTTTTCAGGGCTGAGAGTGTAGCTTAAGAGAGGAACATTTGCTTAGCATGCATGGGGTCATGTGTTCAACGTACAGCACTGCATAAACAAATGAACTAACTTATTTGGCTCATTAAAAAAAAAACCCAGGCAAACAAAAAATATTAAAAAAAAAAAAAACAACAGTCACCAGTGTTTTACTCCTGTCATCCTAGCTACTCAGGAGGCTGAGATCTAAGGGTTACCATTCAAAGCTAGCTCAGGCAGGGAAGTCTGTGAGACTCATCTCCAATCACCATCAAAAAGCTGGAAGTGAAACTATGGCTCTGGTAATAGAGTGCCATCCATGAGAGAAAAGGCTGAGGGATAGCACCTAGGCCCTGAGATCAAGTTCTAGTACTGAAATGAAATAAACTAACTAATAACCTAAAATTTAAATGCACTCATGCCAGATTGCTAAAGACAGATACTTTGCACTTGTCTAAATATTCTAATCAACAATAAGTCATCTGATGCTCACCAAGCTACTAGTGTGATTATTTGGGGATTAAAATATAAAAAAGTACACTAGCAAGGAGTGTCTTTCCATTTATAGTAAGTTGTGGCTTGGGCTTGGTTTTGGTGATCAACTTGGTTAAAAACAGGATGCTATAAGTCACTATTGCTCACATCATTTACATCATTTTGTCAAGCAGAGAAACCAAATTTGCTAATGCTCTCTCATGGTCTTACAGTCATTTCGGCTTTCTAAACACCCTGTTCTTTGTAGCATCTGCTTCACCCTGCACTATACATAAGTGCTTTTGCATAAAATGGAACTTGGAATGAAATGTTTCATTGTTGTCATGTATGTCTATAGTTAATAACCTCCAACTCTAAAGACTGAGATAATTTTGAACAGTAATATGAGGTAGGTATCAATGCTTCCTTTCAGTAAGAGCTCGGTGTAAAGCCAATTCTGAGAATCTAAGAAGGAACGCATTAAATCTCCCAGTGGACCTTCTGTAAGAGGTCTAGTACTGTGCTTCCAGCTGCCAAGGCCTTCCCTACTTAGAGTTTCCATTGTGCTTAATGAAGCTACTTGTCAGTAACCATACTAGTTACTTAAACGATAGCCATTCCATACAGGTTTTACATTGATATACTGTTACCCTAAAAGAAAGATGACTTAATTATTAATATTCTGAAATGATGTGTTTATTTCCATAACAGATCTGTCCTCTCAAAATTGTATGGCTTTGGCTTTAAAAACTTTTTTTTAATCCAGAAGGGGCTGAGTACCTGTAGCTTATGCCTGTAATTAGGAGGCTGAGGTATGAGGATCTCAGTCCAAAGCCAGTCCAAAAGCCAGTCTGGGCAGGAAAGCCTATGAAAATGTTACCTCCAATTAACCACCAAAAAGCCAGAAGTGGAGTTGTAACCCAAGTGGTAAAGCTCTAGCCTTGAGCAAAATATACTAAAGAATACTACCCAAGCCGGGCGCTGGTGGCTCACGCCTGTAATCCTAGCTACTCAGGAGGCTGGGATCTGAGGATCGCGGTTCAAAGCCAGCCCGGGCAGGAGAGACCGTGAGACCCCTATCTCCAATAAACCACCATAAAACTGGAAGTGGCGCTGTAGCTCAAGTGGTAGAGCGCTCGCCTTGAGCCGAAGAGCTGAGGGACAGCACCCAGGCCCAGAGTTCAAGCCCCACGACCGACCAAAAAAAAAAAGAATACTACCCAGGCAGGCAGAGCGCGCGCATGCACACACACACACACACACACACACACACACACACACACAGAACACACACACAGAACACACACACACACACAGAACACACACACACACACACACACAGAATGGAAGCCAGATACTGGCTTACACTTATAATGCTATGCAAGATACTGAGAGTGCAAGGATCATAGTCGAAGACCAGCCCAGGCAGAATAGTTCATGAGACCCTAAATCAAATATAACCAGTGAAAGAGATAAAATAGGGGAAAACAAAGTTGGAGACATAATGCAATAAGTAGAATGACAACCTAGCAAGCATAAACTCCATTACTATTCCCTCAAAAAAAAAAAAAATGCAGAAATGGGGTCTGTGATAGCTATTGATAGTCAATGGTGACTGATGGCTTGACCTAGAAAGGGCATATCTATCTGTGACAGATAGTGAGAATGAAAACATTTCTCTGTTCCCTTTCTCACTGACATTCTCTGTCTAGCTGGCTGCCAACACAATACAACAACATCACACAACAACAACATCAATAACATCACAGAACAATGTCTTTCTTTAAGCCTGTAGTTTTTAAACAGTTCTCCTAATTACATAATCAGCAGTCACTCCATAGCACCTAAGTCCAGAATATAAAATGGGAATAATTACATCTGTGTTGCTCAGTAAGTCTGAGGCTTCAGTTAAATAATGCCTATAAAAGTGCCTGGCTCATTGTAGATTTTCAATAAATCATTACCAAACACATTTCAGAGTGCATGAGGGTAGGGGCCACATGACTGTTGAAGACCCAACTATCTTTGCAAAAACTTGTTTGTGCTAGATGGCAGGCAGCATCTACTTGTGAGCCCAGCTTCTACAGCCTGCTCTCTAACGTGCTGTGATTCATGGCCACTTACTTGGGCTGTAGAGTGCAGATGCCAGGAGTTACCTAATTAAAACTTCCTCGAAGCTCTAACAGCAGCTCTTTTTGTTGCCTTAGTTCTGTCAAGGTGAGGGCTTTGACATGACACTGTCATGAATCAACATGTTACAGTTACGCCCAGTGACGGCTCTTCTGAGCATTTACCAATCTTCTTCCCTTTAGGTATTCCTTGCAAACTAAAAGGAATTGTAATTTTCTCCAAACACAGCCAAGTAGGGGGGTTGGGGGGAATTTTGAGAAACCTTGTAAGTTTCAAGGGTGTGTATTAAGCTGATTTAAAAAAATCATCTTTAAATATTTTTTTTCTTCTTATATACTTGTCATCAGCTCCGGAGAGTTCATTTTCCTGAATGCTGTTCATAGTTCATTCCAGCTTGGTTTCTGTCTCCAGGTATACTCCCACCTCCCAGCTTCGCACACAGGAAGACGCAAAAGAATGGTTACGGTCCCACTCTGCTGGAGGCCTACAGGACACAGCTGCCAATTCTCCCTTTTCCTCTGGTTCCAGTGTAACTTCCCCCTCTGGGACAAGATTCAACTTTTCCCAGCTTGGTAAGTAGCCTCTGCCATAAGCTGTGTCGATCAGTTAGAAGTTCTTGATGTGTGGTCATAACCCATCTGGTCACCATGTGCTCAGGATCGGATTAGTCCTTGACGATGTGGTTTGATTATAGGTGATCAACAGTAAAAGACAGAGAAAATGGCAAAGGTTTTGGTACTCTGGTCTTTTTTTCCCCCTGTGGTTGATGTAAGTAAGGTTATAGCAAAGAGCAAACCATCCTTTTCTTGAGAATGCATTCTATTTCTCAGACCCCTGAAGAAGTGTGTTTACAGCTTGGCCTCCCTTGTTGTTATTAAGCTGGAAGTAAAAGTGAAGTTTTGATTGAATAAGTATTCTTGGAAATGCCTGCTGCTGACATAATGCTTTGACTGGCACAGTGAGAAAGGAAAAGAATTTGTAACACACTCTCTGCTGGCATGTCAGTGGGTTTTTTCTTTTTGTTTTTTGTTTTTGGTTTGTCATGGGGCTTGAACTCTGGGCCTGGGTACTGTCTCTGAGCTCTTCAGCTCAAGGAGAGCACTCTACCACTTGAGCCACAGTGCCACTTCCAGTTTTCTGGTGGTTAATTAGAGATAAGAGTCTCACAGACTTTCCTGGCTTTGAACTGAGATCCTCAGATCTCAGCCTCCTGAGTAGCTAGGATGACATGTGTGAGCCACTGGTGCCTGGTTTGTTTTGTTTTTTGTTTTGTTTTATGTTGAGACAGACACACTCATGAAGACCTATGAGACAGGGCAAAAGAGAACAGTCCAAATTGAATGTAATAAGTATTACATGCAGTTAGAAAAAGGACAGCTTGGTGCTTGCTGACATTATTGGCCAAAGTTACTTGAAGGTGATAGGATGGAACTGAGTTTGGAAGAATGATTTGGGGCCGTGGGAGTGGGGGTGGGGCGGGAAAGGGCTTCTAGACTCACTTCAGACTTTTTCTAGGTGGCTCAGTGGTAGAGCACTTGCCTTGCATACATGAGGCCCTGGGTTTGATTCCTCAACACCACATAAGCAGAGAAAGCTGGAAGTAATGCTGTGGCTCAAGTGGTAGAGTGCTAGCCTTGATCTGAAGAGCTGAGGGACAGCACCCAGGCCCAGAGTTCAGGCTCCATGACCGACCAAAAAAACCCCACAAAACCATATAAGAAAGTCAATCTTTAAGGATAGTTGTGGCTTGTATTCAAGTGAGCTTTAACTCTTTGCCTCAGAAAATATTGTGCATTGCTAACACAGATTCAATCGGAGAGCTAGTGTTAGGGAAGGGAAGTGTTCCTCTTAGTGTTGAAGCTGTTCAGACAACTATTATTAAATATTCCCCATCAAAGGCAGTAAGACCTGGGTTCATATTGTTCTTTCTCAGCCATAACTCTTTGCAGCAAGAGGTTCTTGTCATACACAAATGCTTCCCATCTGATCAAAAGCCTCATTGCACTATTTTGGGCTTTTGGCTTTAGAGAGATTGTTCCAGATGAGCCCGGGGAGTAATTAGCTCATGCCTGGAAGGTGACACTGGCTTGCCTGAACGTGCCAAGTTGGAACGCTGAGGCCCAGAGCCTTGTTTTGGAACTGACCCGCCTTCCCTCCCATATTTTTAGCTCTATGTATATACTCCAACGCTGATGCAACTACCTTTTAGAAAATAGACAAGGAAGAGGAATTGGCAGGAATATGTATGGCTAGTGATAAGCAATCTCTTCTTTGTCCCCATCTGGGATTTAAACAGAGCTGTGAGTTTTCCAACATTTGATTCTACTCCTTTCATTCCAGCGAGTCCCACCACTGCCACCCAGATGAGCCTGTCCAACCCAACCATGCTGAGGACCCACAGTCTGTCCAATGCTGATGGGCAGTATGACCCCTACACTGACAGCCGCTTCCGGAATAGCTCTATGTCTCTGGATGAGAAAAGCAGAACCATGAGCCGATCAGGCTCCTTCAGGGATGGATTCGAAGAAGGTAAGAAAGGAGACTCACTGTCTCCTAGGTCACTTGTTAGTAGTACACAGCATGATAGCCCTTTGTACTAAGTTCACCTAATAGTCCTGAGACTCCACCTTTTAAGTGCTTCCAATTCTTTCTTCTCTGGAACTGTAGTGAATTCTGAATAGTAAAATCTGACCTTTAATTAACTTTCCAGGATTTAATGGCAAAGTTGCTAAAAACATGATAACCCTTAGCACTGACTACCTTCTGCTCTATGCTTTTCTGTCCTGGCCTTGGACCACAGCTCTTGGCATGTACTTCACCTTAAGGACCAACCACTGGCTCACCCTCTTGGCAGGGTACATCTCCCTATGCTGGTACAGCCTACAGCTTTGGAACCAGTCAGCTGAGCCTCTCTATTCTGCCCCAGTATTTCTTGTCTCTTCTCAAGCCCTAGTTTAAAAATTTTTTTTTTTTTTTTGGATCCAGTTCGTGGGGCCTGAACTCTGGGCCTGGGCACTGTCCTCAGCTCTTCAGCTCAAGGCTAGTGCTCTACCACTTGAGCCACAGTGCCACTTCCGGCTTTTTTTTTTTTTCTTTTTGCTTATGTGGTGCTGAGGAATTGAACCCAGGGCCTCAGGCATGTAAGGCAAGCGCTCTACCACTGAGCCACCTTCCCAGCCCTAGTTTTAAATTTTTATTGCACCAAGTTTTGCCCTTTACTTTCTTTGGTTGCCAACAGTAAATGTTGGGTTGGATTTTTATGTTTTGTTCATTTTCATCAGACTTATGGAAGGAAAGTTCTGTAGACAGCTTTGTCAGCCATCCTGATAACTCATTTCATTTCTCTTTCCCTTTGTTTCTTCACCTGAGATATGAGTTAGATGGGAGCAGGTAGTCAAAATGCTGTATAGTGACATCACCTACATCCCCAAAGATTAGGCTTATAGAATTCTGGGGATGGTAATCAGTGATCAAAGGTTAATAAAATGGAAGCATGTAGGGGATGTAGCTCTGCAGAAAAGTGCTTGCCTGGCATATGCAAAATAAGATACTGGTTTTGATCCCTAGCACCATAAGAAAATAAACAAAAGAATATGGAGGCTAGGCACCAGTGACTCATGCTTGTAGTCTTGGCTACTCAGTAGGCTGAGATCTGAGGATCTTGATTCAAAGCTAGGTTTGGCAGGAAAGTCCATGAGACTTTTACCTCAAATTAACTACCAAAAAGCCAAAAGTGGAGCTGTGATTCAACTGGTAGGGTGCTAGCCTTGAACAAAAAAAGCTCAGGGAGGATGCCAAGGACCAGCACACACACACACACACAACAACAACAACAACAACAACAACAACAATAATAATATAGAGTTAGAAGAGCAAATTTTAGAAGAGCTCCATTTTTCTTTAGGTATATGATCTCCAACAAGTTGCTTCACCTTTCTGTGTTTCTGTTTTCTCACTGAAAAGAAATGAGAATAATAATAGCATTCATCTGATGGAATTTTAAGTATTAGCTGAGACAATAAGTATAAATGTTAGCACAATAATGTTATGACATGTCGTGTTCTGCTCCTCAGCAGCTCCAAGTAGCAGAGGATGAGGATTCTAGATCCCAGGCTGAGGGCTTTACCTGTATTTGTGCCTTGATACTAATAACAAAACAGAATGTAGGGGGTGAGTTGTAGCTACTTTTTTCTGTTTCCAAATTTGTCTTATGTGAGTGTGGAAATATACCCAGCATCTTTCTAATAGGAAAGAACAAATAGAGTTGTGATTGTTTAGGAAATCCCATATCAAAGGGAGAGAAGATATCTACTTTTGCTGAGTGTTCTTCTTTAACAGAAGATTTAAAGGCTTTAGTTACAAAACAGTTGCTCTCAGTTAATCTTCATGGCGACTCAGTACTTGGCGACCCCTGATTTATGTATCATTTGCATCCAGTGACATGCAGTGAGCAGACTTAACTCTGTAAATCCATATATGGGAAGCACTAGCCCAGAGGATTAAGAAGCAAGGAGCCTGAGTGGCTGAGGACATTCTCTTAGATTTAAGAACTGGAAATTAATACTATAACCACTCATTATAGTAAAGGGATATCCTGATGCTAAGGGAAGGGAGGAGGCAAGTTGTCTTGAATTTTTTTCTGGTCCATATGCTAGCTGAGCCTGGCCCCATCGTGTTCTCTTGCATATGGAGTATGTCTTGTGCTGTGTGTCTTGTGTATTCATCTTTTCTGTCGTGCATGCACCTGAGTGAATCATGTTCAGTACTAAAACTTGTCCAAACAAGCACACATTGCTCAAAGGCCCAGGACCAATATGGTATCATCGTTAGATAGCTTTTATTTATCCCATCTGGAATCAAACTGTCAGGCAGCTCAACTGTGGAATAGGTGGGATGTCAAACTGACATTGATTAAAAGTGCTTGTCTACAAGCAGTGTCTAGACTTTTGTAAGCATAATGATTCACGATGACACAGGACTGAAACACAGGTAAAATTTAGACTTTGGGGGAAGAGGTAGGGATGCTCTTGATGTACTATAAGCATATAACATTTTCATCTTAAGCATATAACATTTTCATCTTTCTTTGTTATCAGATTGGTTTGATTTATTCCAAAGCTATTTTATTACACAACAATCACTGAGTTTGTATTATTTGGAATTTTAATTCCCTCAGAAATAGCTAAGGAAAAAATTATGTCTCATACTTGGACCAAGTGTAACCTTCTTGTAACCATCCAGTATATCTATGTCATTAACTGAGATAAAAATTTAGGAAGAATTGGCATACATATTTGTCTGAGATTGTGCAATTTAATTAACAGTTTTTATTTTGATGGAAGTAGGGATCATAACTGTGTAGATAGATACAAGCAAGGCCCAGATAAAACTTTTCAAAAGTTATTTGAGGTGTATTAATTTACAGCAGGCATATGATGCAATCTTAAATCAACTTTAGTATGTTCACTATAAGGATGCTTGAGGCCTTTTAAAAATGGATGTCACGAGCTGGGAAGGTGGCTCAGTGGTAGAGCACTTGCCTCGCATGCATGAGGCCCTGGGTTCAATTCCTCAGCACCACATAAGCAGAAAAAGCTGGAAGTGGCACTGTGGCTCAAGTGGTAGAGTGCTAGCCTTGAGCTGAAGAGCTCAGGGACAGCACCCAGGCCCGAAGTTCAGGCCGCACAACTGGCAAAAAAAAAAAAAAAAAATGGATGTCAGGCTGGGAAGGTAGCTCAGTGGTAGAATGCTTGCCTTGCATGTATGAGGCCCTGGGTTCGATTCTTTAGCACCACATAAGCAGAAAAAGCCGGAAGTGGCACTGTAGCTCAAATGGTAGAGCACTAGCTTTAACCTGAAGAGCTGAGGGAGCGTTCAGACCCCACAACCCACCAAAAAAAAAAAAGGATGTCTTTCTTTGGACTAAAAAAAAAAAAAAAATCCCATAATGATTAGTGCCTCTAACTCCTGAGTTACAGTCGTAATAGAAATCCCAACACTTCTACAGTTTAGCATTGTGACTTTGGGTAATGAACTTGACCCTAATCTGCCTCTTTCCTATTCACTAAAATGTTGGTAATAATTGTACTTGCCTCAGGGGACTGAAGTATAGATTAGGTAAGGTAAATCCTGGAAAGCATTTGGCAGATAACTAAGAAAGGGGCTTATTGTTAAGTGCTTAATCAATGGTAGCTATTGTTGTAGTTGTTACCTTGTATCCTTCTCCCCAAGGGCTATTGTCATCTTTTCTTTTTTTAATGACAAAATTGGAACTGAAGGTACTTGTAGTCTGAAAGAGATCCTAAACTTCTTGATTCATTGCTCTCTGTCTTTGTACTGAGTTCTTTGACATCTGGTTCACTTGGGTTCTTTTATTTTGTTGACCTGAGGCAAACTCTGGTCCTAGATATTCTCTTCCTTATTATGCCTCCTTTGCTGGCTGGGAGGCAAGGCTGGTCTTGGCTATCTCTTTCCCTGACTCTTTCCTTAGTACCTGACTGTGGAATGAAAACTGGAGCAGATGCCTTAGATTCACATTCTCCTGCTCCTGAGAGCTATATGCTTATTCATGGTACCTCACTGTTCTGGACCTTAGTATGTTCACTGATTAAGGTTAGAAACTCCTGCATATCTTGAGATTGTAACCTGAAAATTCTCCTAAGATGATGAGGATCAATATAAATAATAGTCTTAATAAGAAAGTGCTGTAATTTGTATAAAGCTGTATAAAGAAAGAGGAAGGAGGAGAGAGAGAGAATCAGAGGTACTCAATTACTTTCTTAGCTAGAATACGTCCACATGTTCCTTGCTGTCTAATGGTTCTTCTATCTCTACCTAAACCTCTTCTCAAACCTTAGTCCTTGTTTCTGCCTTTGTGTAGATGATAACAAAAGGCTTTAAAAACAAATAAGCAAATAAATAAACCCAGTAAAATAGATCATTTAAGGGTAGTCCACAAACTCCTAGTCCACAGATCCAATTATTCAATTACAATGTGATCTTAAGTAAGTCATTCAATCATTCTGGGTTTCATTTTCCACAATGACAGAGATGGCTTAGATATTCTCCATAAAATTGTGGAGGTGCAGAGAGGAAAAGCACATGATATGTTTTAGCCATTTGGGTTTTATAACTCTTAACAGCATCTTAGTGTCCAAAAGGATCCATTCCACATACACAAGGTTCTGGTTTGGATTGACTCTGGAATTCAAAGAGTATTTGTTTGGACTACAGCATTGTTGTTGCTGTTTACCAAGTAAGAGGAGTTAATTACAGAGAAAAATAGTGACCTTCACATGAAGCCTGCCAGATGTGTTCTTCTGCATTGGCCCCAAGATTACAATGAGTTTATGTGTGTGAGATATGGGAATTGAAGAAAGAACACTATTTCCAACAGTCAAGTCCATACCACAGCTTTGGGCAGGCTTGTTGCACAAGTGTGATTGAAGGGTGGCCCCATGTTACCCAAATCTCCTCACCCAACTCCCATATACTACCTTTGCTATAGTCCTGGGTCATGGACCTGAAAGGAGTTACTCTTTTGGAACATTTGGCTGCTAGGTAGGGGCTTTCGAAACCTTTGTGAATATGTGAACATACTAATACTGAAAAACACTATTGGCCATTAACATCTTAAACTTTTTTTATGAGACATGAGTCCGACCGTCAGGGATTGAGGTAAAGATCTAAGCTCAACATTGCTAAGAAGAATGGATGGGAATGACAAGCCAAAGACTGTGTGGGTAAAGGACAGAGGAAGCCTTTGCTGGTGGTAGTCTGGGAAAAGAGGAAGGCCTTATGAGGAACTGCTCCTGATTCAGATAGGCGGTACTGGGAAGCCGTAAGCAAAGAGAACTGCATTGGCAAAAACATGGAAGAAGAAAAGTACCATATAGAGAATGATGGGGAGGAACTACAAGAATGCATGATGTGATGGGAACACACAAGAAAGAACGAAAGGTCAGGGAAGGGTTACTGGGGAAAAAAAAAAAACAACCACAGACAGGTTGCCTGAGTGTTAGGCAAAGCTGTTCATCAGATACCTTGTTGGCAGTTTGCTTCTGCCAATAGTTAAGCCAAGTTGAGGTTTTCTACTTGGGCGGTTAGTGCATGTGGAAAATCACTCCTCAACCTCCTGCTTCAGGCCACAGTTTATCCCACACAGGTGAGATGCATGGGAATATAGATGTTTCCTAGGGTCAGGAGAGCTGTGCGCCATGGGGAGGCCTGTGAAGGCTTTAAAAGAGGAATGGTTCTACCTTTCAAACAAGTTCAAGAGGTTGCTAAGACAATAAGAACTTGGCTTCCACATAGAGAATGTAGCCAGAATACTCTGTTCGAGAAAAGACCATGGTTTACCATTAGAACAATTAGTAAAATGGCTTTACTGGCTAGAGACAGGAAGGGTGGGGGGGGGGCGGTAACTAAAGGTTGTAAATCCAAAGTTCTGTTCTAGAACAGGAAAAGAGGATAGTCCTTGTCACTTTGTGCACATGGAAATGGAAGAACTTATACTTAACTGCATATCTTTTTTAAACTAATAATTCTACTTTGTGGTCATCTAAAGTGAGTTTACTATGGCCAACAGTCCTTTAGGTTCAAAATAATCTGCTCTTCTTTTTGCCCATACAAGTGACAGCTGACAGTAAGGTATGAAAAATAAATATATGCAACACAATCTCAACCCTAGTGGGGGGAAAAGAGTGGAATGAAATATTCTGAAATGGGGGGTGGGGTGGGGAGAGGATGGGAAGGGGAAACAAAGGAGGAGGCTACAATGCTTGATAAGAAATGTACTCATTATCTTGCCCATGTAATTGTAACCCTTCTGTACAGTATTTTCACAATAAAAAAAAAAAAAAGAAATATTCTGAAATGGTAGCAGGTTGCCCCTGGGTGGTGAAATTAAGAGCCATTACAGTAAGTTATGATGAACCTGCTTCTTAACATTTTTGTGCACTTGAACACTGCTAATCTGCAACCATATCTTATTTTATTTTATTTTATTTTATTTTTCATATCTTATTTTAATAGTTAAGAAAAATGTATTTAGAAGGTCATAAGAAAAATGTAGTGATAGCAAATTATTTGATACTGTTCTTTGGTCAGAAGTCACTGACCTTGGGCCATGCTGAGCCCAATAATGTCCTGCTGTGCTGTTTCCTCCTCTCCTCCCCTCCTCCCCTGTTTATATGGTTCTATAGTAGGCAATGTACAATCACCTTTTCTTTTTCTTTCCACAGTTCATGGATCCTCACTGTCCCTGGTTTCCAGCACATCGTCCATTTATTCTACAGTGAGTATAAATCAATGCTGTATGACTATGATCTTAGGAACTTGGGTACTTTTACCAAATGTGTCAAGAATAAAATATTAGCATTTCTCTGGAAGAGAGCATTTCCATTATAAGAGGATCCATTAGTCAGGGATATGATTTGAAATTCACAAATAACAATTTGTTATGATACACCATGCACTAGCTGCTTTGTTAAAATCAAATTGTGCTTTTAGTGGTAACAAAGTAGAGTATGTGAATAGTTTTGGGTATCTGCTGAAAAAGAAAAGCTCACTTTTTCTTCTTCTTTTTCTTTTTTTGAAGGAGAAATTATAGGGTTTGAGCTCAGGCCTGGGCACTGTCCCTGAGCTCTTTTGCTAAGGCTGGTGCTCTACCACTTTGAGCCACAGCTCCACTTCTGGTTTTCTGGTGGTAAATTGGAAATAAGAGTCTCACAGACATTCTTGCCCTGGCTGGCTTTGAACTGAGATCCTCAGATTTCAGTCTCCTGAGTAGCTAGTACTATAGGCGTGAGCTACCAGTGCCCTGCTAAAAGTGAGTTTTTTCTGTTTGCCTCAGTTTATCTGTATAGTAGAAAGAATAGCTGTCCCTACTTTACAGAGTTGTAGTGCGGATTAGGTTTTCTGAGGATTGTATTTACAATATAAACTCCTAGAGATAAAAACTTTAATTTTCATTTTTAGTACCTAAGTCAGTGCTTCATACATAATAGCCATTCAAAAAATAAGTTTGAAAGAAATCTATGAAAAGCAATAAATATGTACACATAGCTCCTAAATACTAGATGTCATCAATGAGGGTCCTACAGAACAAGAGTCAAGTATAATTAAGTATATTTGGATTTTCAGTACTTTTTGATTGGTTCAGTAGTGCTTTTTATACCTATACATTGTCTTAATGACATTAATCTGGAAATGCTTACAGGAACAACAATTTAAAAATCTTTATTAATTTTTTAGCCTTTAATTGAATGGAAGCACATGTTTTAGTAATACGGGATTTGATAGTGCCAAGTTTCTGGGCTATGTAATAGAAATAACTGTACAGCCCTTGAAAATAAAAGATTGTGCCAGAATCAAGTTAAAGGCCCATTTGTTTTTTCTTATGACTAGAGTGAGCAAAAAGACTCCAGTGATTGTTCAGAGGGTCTGACTTGAAGGACCTTCAAACTCTTGTTTCTATTCTTGCTACTTCACCTCACCAGCTCCCAAATTTCTCTCTCTAATTTATCATCTCCTTTGAAATTTTTATCACGGATCCTGTCTTTCATCTTAAGGTTTTTATCTGTAGTAATCTCAGGGAAGGCTTATTTAAGCCATTATCTGCTAAGAAAGCTTGGAGATGGTCTTCTAGCCATTAGCTGGTAGATAAACTTTTTCCTAGAATAAAACTTTCTGTGTCTCTCTCCCTTGGAGAGCACCCACACTCTGCTAGAGTGTGCCTCCTCCTTTCTGTTTGTCTGCTTGCCTGTTTGCTTACTTACTCAATAAAGCTCCACCAAATTTTCTTACCAAAAACAAACAAACAAAAACCTCTGGGATATGGCTACCAAAAAAGAAATTGCCAAATTGAAGTCTACTTTTTCAGTAGTATTTATTTATCGGCACCACTAATGTGCAAGGATTTAGACCAAGCCATGAGAGTATAGGTTTGAAGAAAAAGGATCCCACTAAGAAAGAGGAAGCCAGAGACTCCACCTAGGGCACCTAGGACCTGGGCCTCAAGCTTCCCAGGGCTGGTGCCTGGAAGCCATAGCAAATATCTCACTGCTTCCCCAGTGGCCATCCCAGGAGCTTTATCAACACTAACAGGGGGAGCCCTGTTCATAGGAGTGGAATATGTGAAGAAAAGAGCATGAACTCCTTCACATCTAGGGAACCATCACAGGTAAATCCTCAGGCACCCACTTTGGGCCAATTGCTAGAAGTTCTCACCACAAAACCCATCTTCCAGTAATTGCTGTTCTGGGTGTGTTTTCTGAAGACAGTGTTTACATGAAATTTGGAATTGTTCTTTCTGAACTGATAAAAATTCAATAAATTATCAAGTTTGAATTCCAAATTTATATTAATAGCAAGAAAATATTCTTACCTCAACTTTGGGCACATTACTTTGTTATTTAGAGTGCTTCAGTTTTGCCTTCCCTGTCAGGAAGTTGAGTAAGATAATCCCCATAACCTCTGACTTTCCATGAATTATGGAATCAAAGGATGTTTATCGTTCTTAAATGTACCTTCTATTAGAAAAATGGTTGATTTTTGCAGCTTCAAAACAAAACCTAACTTTTAAATATTTTCACGCTAAATTGTCTAGCAAGTAAAACTGAGTCTGGATAGACTGTGCTACCACCTAGGAGTGATATGTGGTCTCTTATCTATTATTAGCTTCTTAGTGATGAGATACAGAAGCACTGCTCCTGCACCTGTGTAAATGTTATGGCGAAAAATTCTTGTTTACTGTCTAAGACATCACCTGAGTCTCTTTAATTGCCATAGGCACACACACACACACACACACACACACACACACACACACACACACACACACACATACACACACACACACACACACACACACACACACACACACACACACACACACCTTTTAATATTGAAAACCTTACAGCCTCCAGAAGACAGCAAGTTCTTATCTTGAAACTTATGATTCTTGGATATTCAAGAATGCTCATTCTGCTCCAAATTTATGTGCAGTTTTAACTACAAATGTACTCTGTGTATGTGTGTGTGTGTTTGTTTTGCCAGTTCTGGGGCTTGAACTCAGGACCTGAGAACTGTCCCTGAGCTTCTTTTGCTCAAAGCTAGCACTCTACCATTTGAGCCACAGTGCCACTTCTGGCTTTTTCTGTTTATGTGGTACTGAGGAACAAACCCAGGGATTCATGCGTGCTAGGCAAGCATAATACCTCTAATCCACATTCCCAGCCCCTTTAACTACACATGAAAGAAAAGGCACCATGATGCAAAGTAATTGCCCATGGTCAAGTCATGGCCAGTAGGAAAGGAAAAATTTGAGAGGCCAGTCAGGGCACCTGCTGGATGGATAGTAGCCCACAGCTCCATGTAGGATTTGCACATGTACGGGAAGTAACTGGGGACAAGATACAAAGCACATGACTTCTTCGAGGTGCTGTTGAGAAGTCAGAGACAGGTGGGGCATAGGGACAGATGATGGCAAAAATGGAAAAGGACTGTCAAGACAGCTGTTTAAAAGTAGTCCTACGTGGAAGGCTCAGTCTGTTAACAGGCTTCTACCAGCCTGTCCATTGTTAATAGCTGTGACATTCTCATCACTTTCTCTTTTGGACAGACTTGAGGGTCAGCGGCTTTAGTCCTGGAAAGCTTCCATGTGAATGGAGCTATAGCAAAAGAACAAAAGAACAAGACAATGTGCCAGTTAAGATTACAGGTTCTGAGGCCAGACTGCCTTTGATGATCACCGTTCTCTCACTTAACCAACTATGAATATGGACAAATTATTTTGGCATTATGTGATGCAGATTTCTCAAAACAATATTCATATCTACTAAGGATTGTTACAAGGAATTAATGAGTAGTAGAGGCTTAGAACAGTCTTTGGTGGAGGCAAGCATCCAGGAAATACCCAAAGTGGCCCAGGAGGAAGATGGAGCCATATTGATTTTTACAACCTATGTAGTTATCAGGTTGGCAGAATTGGGGCTCCTAGCTCTCTCACTATGAGGTCTTTCTGCCCTGTTCTCTCCCTGGTATGGTTCCATAGGTAGCAGATGATGAGATGGGGGCAGAACCAGCGTAGGAGCAGCCCTAGACACCTAGGTTGCCAGACAAAATATACAACACCAATTAAAGTTGAATTCCAAATAAGCTATATATATATATATTTAACATAAGCGTGCCCTTGTAGCTCAGTTGTAGAATTCTTTTCTAGCACTGGGTTCTTTTTTCTTTTTCATTTCTCTTTTTCTATGTGTGTGTGCGCGCGCATGTGTGCATGCACACGTGCATTTGCATTCAGGTCCTGGTCACTGTCTGTGTTTTTTTTGTTGTTTGTTTGTTTTTTTGTTTTGGCTGAAGGTGAGTGCTCTACCTCTTGAGCCACAGCTCCATTTCCAGCTTTTTGGTGGTTAACTGGAGATAGGAATCTCATGGACTTTTCTGCCAGAGGATGGCCTTGTATCACAATTCTTAGATCTCAGCCTCCTGAGTAGTTAGGATTAAGCATGAGCCACTGACTGGCTCCTGGAAAGCATTGGGTTCTTGTATGAAGGCCATGGGTTCCATCTAAAAGATGTGGAAGGGAGCCAAAAGCCTATTTAAATTTAACTGGGTATCCTATATTGAATTTGCTAACTTAGGCCTTTCCTATCACACATCTTCTGAGTGCCTTACCTTATTGTATCTTCAGAGGAAGGCAGGGTAGCTCCTCACAACTAAAACAGTTGGAACATCATTCTAATTCTTTATCTGTTAAAATAAGAGAATGTTTATATTTTTCCATTCTGATGGGCCAATTTGATAGAAACAGTTTGCCCAGAGAAATATACCAGAAAATAAGCTAATCAATATTAAGGTGTTTATAAGTTTCCAAATTTGATGTCCACCATTGACTGGCTGAATTGTTCTATGTTCCTTAACTGGTCTAATATCCCTTATGCTTTATTTGCAGCCAGAAGAAAAATGCCAGTCAGAGGTAAGGAACAGTTTGCTAGTTGGATCTTTTCTTTCACTACTATCAATTAATTCCCTCAGCTCAGTTTGGAGATGGGCTCACAAGCAAATAATTGTGCTTGTCACTTTTAGATTCGCAAACTGAGGCGGGAACTGGATGCCTCCCAGGAGAAAGTTTCAGCCTTGACTACCCAGCTGACAGCAAATGTAAGTAGAGACCCAGAGTGGCAGAGTAAGAACTGCTGGGGATTGCATTCTAAGTATTGCCTCAAGGCCCCATCTCTGAATACTGTAGAACTCATGTCATATAATATAAAGGACAGAAGCTTTAGCATGGAAGATTTGGATGTCGGCTCTGGCCCTAGGTGTGTAATCTTTTACCACACGAGCCTGACTTTTGTGTGATTGCTTTATTAAGTGTCTTGTGATCAGTGTTTACAGCATATTAAATGCCCATTAATTTCCTTTCACTTTTCTGAAAATTCCAATCTTAAAGGAAAAGAGCAAAAAAAAAAAGGAAATAAAAGAAATCCAGGGCTTCACAGCTGCTATGTAATTATAATGTGTGTGATTACATGTTCAGGACACACTGCCAACTAGCATGCAATTCAACATCTATTTTGAGTGCCAACAATGCCCCGGGCACTGTGAGTTCAACAGCAAAGCAAGCACAGCCATTGTCATTTTAGCATTTAGGCTCTGAAGCAGCAGAGAGACAAAACAAACAATTTCTGTGCAACATGGCAACATGTTAGTCTTGGTGTATGTTGGGGTAAAGGAATCAGGAAGGACTTGCCACAGGAGTTGATATCTCATGGATGTTGTGTTGGAGAATGCACAAGGAGGAAGCATTCTAAGCAGAGAGCATAATTAGTGCAAGGCCATGAAGAAAGATCTTGGTGCATTTGTAAATGTAAGTAGCTTGGTATAATTAGGTTCTGTAGTTTAGAGGCAGAGAGGGACAGAAGAAGGAAGCTAGGAAGGAAGAAGGCAATGGACATGAAGGTCAGAGTGTCTGCACAATTGGATTGGGACTTTAGGCTTCCTGCTGACATGAGAAGGCTACTATCAGTGAGTTTGAAACCAGCTGTGAGGTGGTATGGCTTGGTGTCCAAAAGCTTCCTGGCTTGTATAGATAGAGGATTAGAGAATCTGAGGAAAGGCAGGGATCTCCCACCCCATCAGCACTGTAGAGGAGCTCCACTACAGAGTGATGATGATCAAGTGAGGCTGACTCCTAGAAGGTGGAGCTTGAGATATTGGAAGGTGCTGAGATAGCTCTGAGACTAGGCTTCCTGCCCAGGAGTTCACAGCTCAGCTTGAGATCACAGATCAATGTGTTCAAGCCTGTCAGATGGTTGCCTGCGTGACCCCACAGCACACTGTTAAAATGGAAAACCACTTCAAAAGATTGTCTCCCTTTGACCAGAACACTGAGTCAATACTCCAAAGTAATCATTTACCTGGAATCTTTGCCCTGGTAATTCTCAGTGTGAGCCTGAGTCAACTCCAGGAAACTATTTCTCTTTCAAGTCTACATAGGAAGTGTGTAGATAGTGCTTAACCTTAATTACTACTCATAATTATAATTGCTTTGGTGAGTATTCAGTCTCCTAAGTTCTTTCACATTTCCAAAGATTTTTGAATGTGTTTTTTTTTTTTCTCTCCAAACCCTAACATTCTAGGTCACTGTGGGTTTTCTAATCCTTTATTTTCTTCACCTCTTTCACCATCAGTATTGCTTCAAAAGGACATCAGAAATTGATGTGAGAACTGAAGCTTAGATTCTATTTAAAAAAATAGCAGAACTATTCTATAGGTAGATTTTTCATTTGAACAAACATGTCTACATTCTAATTCAAAAGCAACTGAAGACTCAGTGAGCCAAATATCCTGGGTATAATACAAACATGTGAGACGTTGGATGGCATTTTCCACCCAAGTGATTTTTTTTATTGTAAAGATGATGTACATAACATATCAAGTGACTCTTAACTGCTCTCCTAGTTAAGAATGGCAACTGTCAATTGCTACTCTTTATTAATCAACAGGTAGTAATCAATTTATCTCTGAACTTGGGTTAATTCTGCCAATGACCTCATGCTGCTTTAGCCTGGACTATTTGGAGTTCTGCCCTGTGTTCCAAAAGAATCAGAGTAAGACCCCCCCTTATATTATTCCAAAAGTGTGTGTTGCTCCCATAAAAACCGTTGAATCTAGTATTGTTTTAAAGTAAATATTTAGTCTTACCACACACCACCAGCAAGCAGTGCTAACGTGTTTTATTGTCTGCCGTCTTTCTCACAGACCAAGTTGTATTTGTTTTTCTAGGACAAACTACTCAAAGCCACCCTCTCTGGTTGTTTTTATACCTCTTGTGTTTGTTTTTCCTGGGAATGTGAGAATGGCTCTTGAGAAGGGGTGGCTCAGAACTGGGCTCAGCCCAGGCTTAGCCCAGCCTTGCAGCAGTCGTATTTTCATAGTTGTGCTTAGGACACAAAGGCAGCCCTTTCACTTACCAGCAAAATGAGATCCTCTGGCTTTTTAGCACTAATGTGATTTCTTTGAGCTTGCAAAAACACTATTCTGTTTTAAGTGAGAAGCAGTCTTAATGTGGTCAAGTTTTTTTTTTGTTGTTGTTGTTGTTGTTTATAATTGAATAGACAATACGAATGCTCACAACTGGAATCACGGTGGTTATCAAATGCAGAATGGAAATTAGTGGAAAATCAGTCATTTCCATTTAAATTGGCCATTTCTCTGCAATGCAAGCAAAGCAGATGTTCTTTTAGACATCCATGTCTTGACCCATTTCTTCTGTCTGCTGTCTGATTATCTTGAAATGACTGGGCTTTGGTTTCATTGTTTTCTGGGGCAAACTAAAACATATCTCTTTATCTTAAAATACAGAAGCATTTTTTCCATTTTGAACTGAGAGAGGGAGAGTGACAGAAAGAAACTATTCCAAGTAACCTTTCTATTGTAAGTGGGCCTGTTCCCTGCCATGTGTGATTCTAGCCTTCTCTCCTGCTTGATAAAGTCCAGTAAGCAAAGCCTATCAGTTATTCCTCAGATCCCATCTTAAATGGCAATGGGACTGATCTCCCTCTTAACTCCTCCTTTTCCTGCTGTTATCTCATTTTTATCCTTCACTGAGGTCAATCATCTTTTCCTCTAGGATTTTACAGCATGATCCAATCTCATTTCTTCCCAGATTTCATGTCTCCTCTGTTGATCTTTTTCATTCTACCTGTGTTCACTCAGTCTTATGCTTTTCAATTCCTTAACAGTTTGTAGACAACTTCTACCTATCTTGGCTCACCTGCCCCATATTTTTTTTTTTCCATTCCTTGAACTCAGGTGCTTGAACTCAGGGCCTGGGCACTGTCTCTGAGCTTCCTTTGCTCAAGACTAACATTCTACCACTTGAGCCACAGTGCCACTTCCATTTTTTTCTGTTTATGTGGTACTGAGGAACCAAACCCAGGGCTTTATGCATGCTAGACAAGCACTCTACCACTAAACCACATTCCCAGCCCCTGCCCCACATTTTTTATTAGCAGGAATTAGTTGTACAAGAGGGTTTCATTCTGACATGTCCATATATGCATACAGAGTACCTTGGTCAGACTTATCCCCTGTCATTCTCCCTCTCCCTCCCTATTCTCTCCTCATTCCAAACCAAGATTCATTTTTCCTTTTCAAACACAGATGTGCATATTGGCCATTTTCACCCTCCTTCACTTTCTCTTCATGCTCCCCTTCCTACTAGTACCCATACTCATCTGTCTTCTTGCATTTAATGCTCAAGATAGTCTTGGAGCAAAAACAAATGCTTTTACAGATAAGAAAACTAAAGCCATTAGGATAAAATGACTTATTCAGTATTATAAATGATCAAAAGGAATGAAATACATGAAGATCTCTAACCCTAATTCCTACTCCTTTCTCCTATTCAACAGTGCCCAGTTCATCTAAGCGTTTTTCTTTCAATCCTTTCTTGTTCATCTGATACAATGATCAAGGGGCAGCTTTGTATCAACAGTTGGGGCAGACACAGGAGAGCAAGAGAATGTTCAACTCTCATCAAGTATATATAGTCTGATAATTTGTCTTGCCTGTTACTGAAATGTCTGTCACTAGAGGCAGTAGTAGGGAATGGGTTAAAGAGATCTGCTACTATTCAATTATACAAGCAGAATTAGGAGTTAGATGATCCTGCCTAGCTATTAGATAGCTAGACATTCCTTAACAAGACTACTAGAAAGCCATCCATTTTTTTTTTATAGTGAAAATACCATACAGAGAGGTTACAATTACATGGGCAAGGTAATAAGTTCATTTCTTATCAAGCATTGTTGCCTTCTCCTTTGTTTCCCCTTCCCATCCCTTCCCATCCCCCCACTCAAAGTTTTCCACATAATGTCTTGTACATCTCATTGTTGCAATGAGATACAGGGTCCACCTGTATCCATATTTAAACAATTTGTTTTTCCCTTCCCCTCCACCAACATCAAATACAATGAAAACTGGGATTATACCGTGAGGGAGAGGCATATAAAGCAACAAAGAAATCATCTTATAAATAAGTTAGAAACAATCACAAGAAAGAAAAAACATTTGAATCCTTATCTTGGGGTTCATTTTGCCTAACATCAACTTATCTGACCGTTTCTGCTTGTCTCAGACATATACTAGTTATTGCAAATAAGGGAAACCATTGGACCTATGTTTCTTTGGGCCTGGCTTACTTCACTTAATATAATTTTTTCCAAGTCTTTGCATTTCCTAACAAATGGAGCAACGTCATTCTTTCTGATGGAGGCATAGAATTCCATTGTGTATATAAACTATCCATTTCTTATTATTGGTTTTAATAACATCAGGATTGTCATTCAACCAACCAATATCTCACCTCTATTTTCTTGTTAGGCAGGAGGTTTAGTGTTGGGGCCCAAAGTTGCCTGGAACAGTTAATCTGGAACAGAGAGTTTCAGAGAAAGATGAAATCAGGAAAATGCCATCTTTATTTTCAGTATAACCTGAGAATTGGGTACAAGCTTTAGTTTTAACTGGTCATATTTTTAATTTTTTTCTATAATGGGTAAGACTATGGTGCACCTGATGCCGTGTTCTAACAGCACTATATGAAAGTATATGGGAGCTTAGCAGGAAATCCCATCTCTGGGTTTTTCTAAGGACGAAGCTTTTTAGCAGCTTTTTTTATTAACATAAGCAAAAGACATCAGCCATTTTGTTCATTCCACAGGATTTCTTCCTGTGAGCCTCTGCCATGGACTTGGTAAATGAAAGAACAGCCTGCAGAGTCATAGAGAAGACAGGCATATACTAATGACAATCTCACAAGCACATTCAGGACAGTGATCTCATAGGAGTGAATATAAGGGAAACCAGTTCAGTCTGAGGGTTGCACAAAGGCATGAGATGAGAGCTCTTGAGGCAAATGTATAAACATTAATAAAGGAGGAGATGGGAGAAAGGTGTTCCAGGCAGAGAAGAATAGATATACAGTGGCCTAAGATGGGGAAGAGCACAGGATCCTGGAGCTTAAAAGGCTAAATAACCCTAAGAGTGGTAGGGTAGCAAGTGAGAGACAAGAGGAGCCTGAAGACATGGACAGAAGCCAGATCAAAGAAATACCCAGAAAATATTTGCATCTTGAGGACCCAGTGCTACTTAGGCACTGTTGCTTTGCAAAATAATGTAACATCACCTGTATTTTCCCTTCCAGGCTCACCTTGTAGCAGCCTTTGAGCAGAGTCTTGGAAACATGACCATCAGACTCCAGAGTTTAACCATGACAGCTGAACAGAAGGTAAGGCAGAAAGGATACTTTCCCTCCCTGCTTGGGGTTAACAACAAACCTAGAAATATTCATTTTCATTTCACGTAATTGTGTGGATTTTAACTTATCTCTTTGACTAATAAAGCTTAAATGTCAAGAAATAGATATGTTGATTGACATCATGCACTTAGATAATGCACTGACATCAACAACAGAGCTCATGGTCCCATTTTACTTGTTTTATGCGTTCTCTTATGTCCACTGAAATGGATCCCTTTCCCATAAGAGATAACAGATCTGTAGAGCATCTTTATTTATTACCCTTTTCTGTTGAAGCCAAGTTGTTCCTTTGTGTTATTTTAGAATAACCAATATACCTTTCTTATCCTTAGGATTCAGAACTGAATGAGTTAAGAAAAACCATCGAGCTGCTAAAGAAACAGAATGCAGCTGCTCAGGCTGCTATTAATGGAGTAATTAATACTCCTGAGCTCAACTGCAAAGGTAAAGTAAAAAATAGCTTTAGACAAATGATCTGCCTCCCTTAGCAGCCTCCCTTGATGGCACATGATGCATGGTCCCTGCTAGAGGGTGGGTAGCTTGAATTCTAGCTCTATATCTGTCAGGCAGATCCCAGAAGTTATTTCCAGTCTGTACAGAGGTGGCTGGCTAGTGTAGCTCACCCTTTCTCTGATGAATCTCAAATTAGAAGGGAATAGCATTCTCTTGGCTGAATGTAAAAGTATTTTATAGCCCTTAACTTTGCTTGATTCTGTATTCATATGCTAGTATGAGAGGATCTAAAATGGTTTCATTTCCTACTTGTGCAGGAGAATTGTCCTCAATCATAAGTTGGGATAGGATTAAAAAATAATATTTGTGAAAAAATAGATGAGCAGGTGTTATTTCCTGTAGTAACAGTATTAACAGCAAAAATAATACTGGAAATAGTATTGGTAGCATTTATGGAACTCTTGGCTTATGCTCTAAGCTTATTTAATTTACTTATTTACCTTTTTTAATATACTATCTTCTTTTCTTTCCACCACAACCTTATACTTATTGACCTGATTCTTTGCTCATGGTACTAATTAGAGTCTGAGTTTAAAGTATGCATTTACTTCCTGAAGTCAGAGAATTACCAGACAAAGAAGTTGGGACTAGAACCTGAGGATCTGTTTCTAAACTCAGAACTTCTCATTCAGGACTTGAGTGTAGTCCTAAGGAAAAAATAGGCAGTAAGGCTGGGTGCTGGTGTCTCACACCTGTGATCCTAGCTACTCAGGAGGCTGAGATCTGAGGATTGTGGTTCAAAGCCAGCCTGGGAAAGAAAGCCCTTGAGACTCTTAGCTCCAATTAACCACTGGAAAACTGGAAGTGGAGCTGTGGCCCAAAGTGGTAGAGTACTAGTCTTGAGGAAAAGAGCTCAGGCCCTGAATTCAAGCCCCATGACTCAAGGGAAATAAAATAAAGAAAATGGGCACTAAACATTATTTCAAAAGTCCATGTTATTCTTTCATTGGAAACAGCAATGATAGATTTTAAAGAAGAAAGATTAGAAAAAGTTGATTAGGGATATGTGGATCAAGCAGTAGAGCTCCTACCTAGTACGCACAAGGTCCTGAGATTTGAACTCAGGAATAAAAAAAAAGAGAAGCAAAGAAAAAGAAAGAGCTGGCCAGACAGTGGAAAGGAAAGAGAATTGGAAGAAAAGGGAAGAACATTTCACAGGACCCAGAGGTCAGATGGCACTCCAAAGGGAGCAAGTGTGAAAAGCAGAGGAAGCAAAGAAGCAGGCCCAGGGGTGCAGCTTGGTGGTAGACTGTGTCTCCTCATGACACCATGGGTGTTCCATCTCCAACACTGCTAATTTTTTTTCTACACTAAGTCTGGGCCCAATGATTCCCACTTATAATCCCAACTACTTACGTAGCAGAGATTGGAAGGATCATGATTCAAGGCCAGCTTAGGCAGAAAGTTAGTAGGATCCAGTAAGTATCCAGTAACACTCACTTGTGATCCCAGTGACAAGGGAGGCCTAGGAGGAGGCTCTTCAGTGGTGGGCAAAAATATGAGAACTAGCCACAAAAAAGCTAAAATAAGGAGTGGGGGGAGGGTGGGCTCAAATAGGTAGAACTCCTTCCTAGCAAGCATGAGGCACTGAGTTCAAATCGTAATAATGTCCAAAATTAAAAAAAAAAAATAAAACAAGGGTATGGAGATAATGAGAAAAGCACTATGTTGCAATTGAGAAACATTATTTTTCTGCCTTTCTGTAGTCTAAGTGCTAGGAAAATCCTCCCTCAGCCTTCTTTTGATTTCTGTTTTGTAAAGTGAAAAGACTCAGACCCCATTTAACTGACCAAAGTGAACAGAAAGAACAATTAGCTACTCAAGGATCTAAAACCATCAGTGAGAAATACTGATGATGTTTCAATGGAAAAAAAATCTAGGAGTTCATGGGAATATGGATCTCAGTTCAGGATCCATCTGTGGAGACACCCAAGTCTGTAGACACTGACATGTCCTGTCTTACTTTCCAGGAAATGGTCCTGCACAGTCTACAGACCTCCGCATTCGTAGGCAGCATTCCTCCGATAGTGTCTCCAGCATCAACAGTGCTACCAGCCACTCAAGCGTGGGCAGTAACATAGAGAATGATTCAAAGAAAAAGAAGAGGAAGAACTGGGTGAGTATTTATTCACACTCTCCCAGGGACTGAGTCTGTTACAGAAGCAAGAGTTCCCTAGATGAAGCTCAGGCTGCCTCTTAACCTCAGTACGATATGATATGTCTTTGGGAATAAATCCAAAGAAGAGGCATATGGATAAGTTTTTACTAAAACCAATATGCTCAGCAAAACACTAGAATTACATAATCACCACCACTATGTTGAGTTTCTCTTTCATGAGACTTTATGTGACATACTCATCTTCCATTTCATATGTGTCATTTTTTCCTCATTTTATGCTGGCCACAGATTGCTAGAGCTGTTACTCTTTTATTTACTATTTGACAGTACTGGGATTGAATCAGGGCCTTCCTGTGCTAAATAAGCAATCTACCACTGAATTGCACTTGGAGCCCTTAGCAAAGTTACTCGTAAATACCTCCTAAGCATCCTTTGGAGCATATATCAACAGTTATACCATCCTTAACCATAATCTTTTTTTTTTTTTTTTTTTGGGTCCGGTCGTGGGGTCTGAACTCTGGGCCTGGGCGCTGTCCCTCAGCTCTTCAGCTCAAGGCTAGTGCTCTATCACTTGAGCCACAGCGCCACTTCCGACTTTTTTCTTTTTGCTTATGTGGTGCTGAGGAATCGAACCCAGGGCCTCGAGCATGCAAGGCAAGCGCTCTACCACTGAGCCACCTTCCCAGCCCAACCATAATCTTTTGTCTTTATTTATACAGTTGCCTAGAATATGAGAGCAACATTGTCTTTGAAAGTTTTCTAACCATATCCTATAAATAACTTTTATAATATCAACATGAGGAGTTGTTCTAAGCTGGAAGTAGTACCTCAAAAATAATGCATTGGATAGAATGATCTCCATGTAGCCATAATCTCAATGCATGACTTGATTTTCCATACCTCAGTGATGTCCCTGTTCTTCTGGGGAAATTCCATCCTCCATGCTTTTTTCAGTCTTTCTGTCAAGGCTTTGGAGTACTGAGTAACATTTGCTGCTGCTCATCTTCAATGCAGGGACACCCCAGATTGATCTGAAGTTGGCCAGTGCTCAAAGAGCCAGAATTTCCCATGCAGAAAGCATCTTGTTTACATAGTGGCCTCAGGGTCCTCACTCATTCCACACACCTCTCTCTCATTTTGTGTCATCTTGGATGGGTGGCGAGGTCTAGTGATAGAGTTGTGGTGGGTTCTGTAATATTGTTTCTAATGACTAGCGTTAGAGACAAGCTGGAAGGCCAGCTCAGTGTAACCCTCTTATTCTGATTCATTTTTTTTTTTTCTTGAAGTTACTAATAGCTTTTAGACAACTCATTTGCTATGACTAAACAGGTAGGATTAACTCACGTTGCCATCTCTAATATGCAATTGATAAGTATAGTCTGAGTTGAAGAATATTGTCTGAGTATGAAAAATAGTGTTTATTTTCTTCGAGCTAAGATATAAAATGTGTTTGTGCTATTTTATGACAACTAATTCTAACTTCTCAGTGAAATCAGGGAAGATGGATAATTGGCATTCTAAAGCTTATCCCAAAGCTTAATTCTGTCTAATCTTCACAATCTCCTCTTTCACTTGGCTTTTTAGCAGAGGTAGAGGCAAGTATTGAGTCTGTTGGCATGTATGCCAGTTCCTCTTGTCTCTATGGCTACTCTCTGGAAATAGGTTCAGAAGTAGAAAATAAGAGAGCAATGGGATCTGGATTTGCCCACAGGCTGACATGAGGTTTGTTAGAGATGAAGCACATGAATGGAAGAAAAATCTCAGCAGTTTGCCCAATGGCCTATTTTCTGAAATTCTCAGTGGCTGAGAAAACCCCTAGAATATGTTTTTGAAAGGGGGAAAAAGACTTTAATAAAAGGAAGTGACTTTTTTTAACTACCTGTTTTCAGCACAAAATATTATGCCCATGGCTCTCAGAGAATTGTGCTTCATTCTTTCTGTTCTTCAGGGCAAAGGAAAATTGTATTACACCTCTTTATTTTTTACAACTTGGTTAATGAATTATTTATTTATTTATTTATTTATTTTTATTTATTTATTTTTGTTGGTCATGGGGCTTGAACTCTGGGCCTGGGTGCTGTTCTTCAGCTCAAGGTGAGCGCTCTACCACTTGAGCTACAGTGCCACTTCCAGTTTTCTAGTGGTTTATTGGAGATATAGGAGTCTCACAGTCTTTCCTGCTTGGGCTGGCTTTGAACTGTGATCCTCAGATCTCAGCCTCCTGAGTAGCTAGGATTACAGGTGTGAGCCACCGGCACCTGACTTGGTTAATGAATTTTTAAAAACAATTTCCCCTCTTTTTTTTTTTTTTTTTTGAGTAGTGAAGGAGATGGCTAATCCCGTTTATCAAATTGTCTTTTTTATATAAGCAGTCGCAAGTTAGTATAAGCAAAGAGCTGTACAGCTCTATGGAAAGTCTGAGATGATACTGCTCAGAAAAGAAGACATTCTCCCCTACAATCCTCACTCCTCCCAGCTCAACCATTAAGGAAAAGTGTGAGAAGCATGGGAAGGTAGGCACAGTTACTTTAACCAGACTAGAAGAAGTCAGAAGAACCCTGATTGGGGACAACCTACTCTTCCCTTCTTTTCATGATGAAGGAGGATGTCCCTATACTGTTAAAGGTTCACATTCCTACTGGAATCCTCTTCTGTGTTTGGTGTTTATTATTAGCCATGTTATGTCGAAAAGTCCAAAGCTTTCCCTGTCATTGGCTTTCTCTGTTAAAAATTGTCTTTTTTCCTTCCCCTTCCCTGTTTTGCTTGCATTTTCTCTGGCAGGTCAATGAGGTAAGCAAGAACCAACTTTAATATCAGATACCAAGCTAACCCATCCATTGATATGACTAACCTCATCCGCATCCGTCATGTCTCAGCATCCTGCTTTGTTGCTGTGTAACCTCATTTTCCCCACATCCACCTGCTGAGCCAGGCTTTGTCTTGCTGTTGGCATCCAGTCTTGAACCAAGAGTAGGCATGGAATGTTCCCCACAGGTCCAGTCCTGAGCTATCAATACCAGATAACTCCTCTTCCCTTAATGCACTGATTTGAGAGCTGTTGGGGGAGCCTTTTCCATTGGCTGGGGAAACATGGGAGAGTTAATTGCTCTTTTGTATGCATGTCACTGGGTAGCCAAGGCCTGAGCTTTGGCTGCATCCCCCCAAAAGGCTAACAATCTTTTGTATTCAGTTGCGCAGCTCCTTCAAGCAAGCTTTTGGAAAGAAGAAGTCCCCCAAGTCTGCATCCTCTCATTCAGACATCGAGGAGATGACAGATTCTTCTTTGCCTTCCTCTCCAAAGTTGCCACACAATGGGTCCATGAGCTCCACCCCTCTGTTGAGGAATTCTCACTCCAATTCATTGTGAGTTTGTCTCTTGGGGTACCCTGTCAGATGTTGTCAAGCAGAAGTGACTTATGAGTCCTATTAGGAGACAGTTGCTCACCTGGTCCTATATGATTTCCTCACATATAGATGTATGTATGTATTTATCTATGTTTTGGTAGACTGGAGTTTGAACTGGAATTTGCAATTGTTAGGCAGGCACTCTATAACTTGATTCACACCTCCAGTCCTTCTTACTTTTTAGGATAATGTCTCATGCTTTTTTGCCTAGGCTACTGGGAGCACAGTCCTCATAGTGGAGATCACAGGCATGCATAACCATGCCCACTTGCTTACTGAGCTGAGGTCTCAACTAATGTCTTGCCTAGGATGGCCTTGGATCATAGTCCTTGCTATTCATTTTTTTTTATCGATTTAACAGGTTATTGAGTGTTCTCCCAGGGTTTTTAGAACTGAGAAGGTTGAAAAAATAGAAACTTAGCGTTTAGTTAGGGTGGTATCAATACCATAATTAGTAGCAAGTTATTTAACTTCTCCATATTCCACTTCTTTGTATGTCAGATTGGGATAAGGGCTGTTGTCTAAGCACTGCATAAAATAAATGGATAAAAACAATAGAGAACCTTTTTGCTACAAGGATGGATGGTATTAAGAGGGTTGGCAGTTTTTGCTGAAATTCTGATTCACTTGGATGTTGGAATTTAAAATATAATTTTCTTCTTTGATGAAGATTTGGTGTTTACTATTTCTCTGAGATTAGATTAGAAATCAGAAATTTGGGATTAAAAACAGATTCAGTGACATTTCTTGTTGCTAAAGGACTTGGTGAAATGATTCATCATGAGCTCCTCCTCTAGGAACTTCAGTATGCAGTAGCAGCTCTTAGGGACATGACTGGCTTTGTTCAGGTTGTCTAGTGCTGTTCTCCTAGCTGCAGTTACACAGAGAAAAAGAGCCATCTGTTCTTGCCCAGCCCTCTTTTCCATGACTCTCACTATGCACTCATTCTTCTGTCTTCTATCCCAGCACAGGAAGACCATTCTCTCCAATCTAAGAAAACAGGGTCCAGATTTGGAGCAAGAGCCAAGAGCAGAAATGGCTTGGGTGGGTAGAGACATTGGTATTAGCTCAGAAAGTTGCACAGCTACCTTCTTACAGCTAAGTACAGCTAAGTTCTATCGTAAGACCATGTTTGCCACATCTAGAATTATCAATGATGATTGTGAACAGTCTAAAGGCAAGTTATCAGGGTGCTGAGACAGTACCTGAGAGAAGAAAAGAGCTGTGGCTGGAATCAGATCATCATTGAGATAGGATTAAAAAGCAGCGGAGATTCATTATATAAATCTCAGTAATTACATTTACTTCACTGAATTCTTGAGAGAAGCAAAATAGATGCCTCTATCTTCCTGCTTCATCCTCCATTCTCAAGAGGCTAGTCTGTGGAATTGACCCTTGGTACGCTTAGGCCTAGTCAACCTGCTGAGGATAGAACCTGCACAAGAGCCTCAACTGCTACCCAAGTGCTTACCACATTGCCTCGAAGATTGGCCTACCCAAAGGCCAGGTCTTTATGGCACACCAACTGCAAAGTAGAAGTATATGTGTATGGGGGGCAGTAATGAGGTTTGAACTCAGAGTCTTACATTTGTTAGACTGGTGCTTTACTTATGGGCTACACTTCCTGCCTGGCTTTTTGCTGGGTTTTGGAGATGGTGGTTAGTAAACGTTTTTGCCCTGCTGGCAAAACCACAGTCTTCCAGATCTCAGCTGCTTGAGTAGCTAGGATTATGAGCATGAGCCACCAGTGTCCAACCATTTTAAATGATCTATGTGTTAGTGACATATGGCTTCATTATACATAGAGGATCAGCTCCACTTCTACTGGTGTCACCCTGGTGAAAGGGAAGCCACTTCTTTTGTGGATGAAATCAGATTAAGGTAAGATAACATGAATACTTAAAAGCGTGAGTCCTACTTGATGTATAGCATGCCCAAAAATAAAAGACAGGGTATCTCACACAGGCCACCATCCATCCCAAAGCATCCTAGTTCAATCATTTCCTGACCAGAAGGAAAAAGGAACCCACTGTCTGCTCTTGATTTGAACTTTTTGTAGAACAGGCTGTATGAGCTGAATATATTCAAGGTATTCTGCAAAGACTAAGGCTAAGATTAGCCAGATTCTCATCCGGAGACTAGGGATCCTGGGGACATGGCATGAGGCCATTCATTCCACTCCTAAGCCTCTACTCTGTGCTAGGTGCCAATCTGGCTCTATTATGGCAGTGTCCAAGACGATAAAATTATTTCTCTGGCTGCCCTATCGTGAGTTAGAGAATCCTGTTAATTTATTAAAGCCAGGCATCTTAAGGGTTAATGCTGTGGATGAAAATGGTACTAGGATGCAGCAACTTTAGATGGGATGGTCAGGAAAGACCCCTCTGATGAGGTGACATTTTAGCTGAAATCTTTGTAACAGAAGGAACCGCTGTTTAGTTCTGGTTAGAAACACTAGCTTCAGTAAACCCCTAAATAAAAGCTCAGTGGCTTTTATTTAACACTGTTTATTTCTAGCTCCTTCCAAACCCAGTGCAGATATACCTAGTCAGCAGGCTTCCTGCCATGACCTAGTCCTCTACCCAATGTGGGTCTAGCCAGAGTCAGGAGAGGGTGTGGAAGATCCTGCAGGCCTAGAAAGAACATACATGTCCTCTTCCTACTGTCCAGTGATCAGGTCCTAGGGCCATACTATCTATATGGGAAGATGTGCAAAAGGAAATGGGCTTTGGTGAACCCAGATCAGCCTTCCCATGAGCAGTGCAGCTGTTCCAAGAAATAAACAGCTTAAGGAAACCAATGTGGAAACAAGCTGGCTGAGTCTGAGAAGGGAAGGCTGGTTGCCACAGGATAGTCAGGGGGCAGAGTAGCAGAAAAAGGGCCCACAGAGGAAGGCCTGGCCTATAACAGGGAGAACTTTGAAATCAGAGAAGTCATTTCTGACTTCATGTATAATACATGTGAGGGAGCATTAGGCAGAAAGGCGAGAGAACTTTAATTAGTGTCCTAAGGAGATGCATGAGGCAAGAGTAGCGGGAGAGAGGCGGCTAGCCCTCCCCAGTTTACACTGCCTCTTATAATGTGAGCCTCCACTGGCCGCTGGCTATGCCATGAACCTTCCTTCACATGCCCTGCTTTAAGGATTTTGCTCTTGCTATGTCCCCTGCCTGAAAAAATCCTCCCTCTGGTTAATCTTTTCTTCAGGCCTCTGCTCATGTGACCTTATTATCAAGTCCTGTACATCTTGAGTCAAGTTGCCCTACCACCGTCTGTCATCCCCCGTTCCTCTACTTTTCACCATTCAACCTACTACCAGCTGACATGTATATTTTCTCAGGTTTTGTTCTCTGCTCTTTACTCTATCCCAGATCCGCAATGTTGAACCCATGAAAATGGGTTCCCTGATGGTTCAGCAAGCCTTTGGATCTTTGGTACAAAGAAGGAATGACCGATAGTAGTTGTGACTCTTCAATGATTTAAGGTTTGGAAGAAAAGTAGTTAACAGTTCATGGTGATAGATCTGATGTAGAAGATGAGGGAAAGAGAGGAACAACCTTTGGATCTTCCTAGACTTGCGTCTTGAATGGGACAGGTGGGACAGGGAGTGGGAGCTTTGCCTTGGCCACATTAAGTGAGATTCCTGGCCGGCCTAGAGTTCTAGGACATAGAGATTTGGGAGACAGGAGGTTAGAGGTGGCAATGAAAGCTGGGAAATGAGAATTCTTTGAGTAACTGAACGGAGATAAAGAGGAGCAGGACTGAGCTCCAGCATGCTGAAATTTGAACTTAAGGAAGAGAATGTAGAGCAGTCGATGAAATGGGGGAAAACCTAGGGAGACAAAGAGAAGAAACTGCTTGGAGGAACAGACACTGTTCTACATGATACTGGGCGGTCATGTCAGGCTAGAAGAGGGTGGTGGTGATACACTCAGCTATAGAAAACCATCAGCAAGAATGCTCTTTCCCAACCACTTTTCCCATAGGGATGGGGCAGGGCAGGCTCTTGGCTCACCAATCCTTTTCTTACATTCCACAACCTCCATGGACACTGGAGATGTTTGTTTTTGCTCTAGTTTTCCAAAGGGTGGGCTGACATTAAATGCTTATTTCCAACCTTGAAAGGTTTATAAGAATGTGCAAATCTAGATGTGAGAGGGAGTTCAAAGAAGAAACCAGAGGCAGAGGAGTTGGGCTTAGAGAATTCTCCATCCTGTGGGCGAAAGGAATGACAGCTGGGGGAAGACAACATTTCCCACACTTGATGCATTTAAAATTAGGCATGCAACCAGCCCGCCTCCCAACAAGACAGGAGTATGTCAGAATAACTATCTAGGGATTGAAAAACCATACATCAGGTTACTTCAGTAAGCACTCCATGCAGTATGTTGGGAACAATATAGGAGTACAACATATAAACTGCAGGTACAGTGCCTCCTAGTTACAATGTAGGAGCAAATTTAACAAGTTTTATTCCAACTCTCTCAACACATTAAGTAGTATGCCCTTGGGCATTTTTATCTCTATGCCTCAGCCTTCTCATTAAAAAAAATACAATTATAGTATCTCTTTATGGAATTAGTAGTGTAATACTGATCGACAGATTTCAAATGCCCATGTGTCCAGTAAACAGTGAGAGTACCTGCTGTGAGTGGCTAGATCGATGTGATCAGACACTAGAAATGATGCAAAAATTAACCCTGGACCTTGAGGAGCTAGCAGACAAGCAAAGGGTATTCTGTTAGGTACAGTAAAGTTTCAGATACATAGCAATAAGTCTACTAGGGGAAGGAACCAAGGGAAAAGGAAAGTTCTATCTTGGACTGCCAGGATAGGAACTAAAACTTAGGGCTGGTACAAAGGAACTTTTTACCAACAGCATCTTTGTTAGGCAATCCCTTCTTATAAGGCCTCACCATTGTGTTTCTTGAGAGCTAGCTGGTTTTGTAGGAGACTTGTACCCCAACACTAAAGTTTCTTATTTATTACTTTCCTATCCTTTTGTCTTAGCTATTTTTCTATTGCTATAAATACTAAAAATTGGGTACCATATATGTTTATACATATACATATATGTATGTATGCACATATATATATATTATGTACACATACACACATGTACATACATAAACAGAAGCTTATTTAGCTGTCACATAGTGCCAGCATCTGCTCAACATCCTTATTGGGTCATAGTGTGATAAAGGGTAGAGGATACCACATAGCAGGCTAGGGTAAGCCTGCTTATTCAAATCTCAATTCCTTTTCTAATAAAGTCATGAATTCTATCACTGGGCCTCACTGCCATGACCTCATTTAATACTAATTACCTTTTCAAGGCTTCTCCTCCAAATAGCATTACATGTAGCTTTGAGGCCTAAATTTCAATGTAAGTTTGGAAGCAGGTAGATACTCAGATTATGGCACCTCTGTAGAGCCCCTGATTGGCCAAGTTGTACAAAGCAACCCATTGCTCCTTTCTCCTCCACTAGGCCTGCTAGATCTATTCTGGTTGTCAGAGCTCTGTGAAGAAATATTTCAGACAAGTCATAAAAATCAGTAACTTAGCCAGGTGCTGGTAGCTTATGTCTATAATCCTAGCTACTCAGGAGGCTGAGATCTGAAGATCTTGGTTTGAAGCCATCCTGGGTAGGAAGTCCAGAAGACTCTTATATCCATTTAACCACCAGACAACTGGAAGTGGCACCATGGCTCAGAGTGCTAACCTTGAGCAAAAGAGCTCAGGGACAGAGTCTGGGTCCCAAGTTCAAGCCTCATGACTAACCAAAAAAAAAAAAAAATAATAACTTTGAGGTGAGAAGCCTTAGGTGACTGGTTATGCATGGTTACTGCTGAACACACCCGACGATTGAACTGGATGGTAAGAGTCTAAAAGGAGATGAACTCAGAACTGCTTTTATCCCATAACATCCCCTTTCTCTAGAATTTCGGACTGCATAGATAGTGAAGCTGAGACAGTCATGCAGCTGCGAAATGAGCTCAGAGACAAGGAGATGAAGCTGACAGACATCCGCCTGGAAGCTCTCAGCTCTGCTCATCAGCTTGACCAGCTCCGGGAGGCCATGAACAGGATGCAGGTGAGCGATCAGGAGGTAGATGAAGCTACAGGGAGGTGTTCTCTAGCAGCGTGGGCATCTCCATGCTGACCACCCTCCGTCTTTCTCTTTATATTTCCAATCACTTTCACATATTGCGTAGAGCAGCCTCTGGGAAAGCATAAGAGTAATCATACCTCTCTACTCCCTGCCTCCTGCTTCTACCTGTTCCCTTCTCCTGCCTTTCAAGCCTTTTTTTCTCCAAGGCCCTTTTCACTTCTGGTCCCCACATCAGTCCTGATTCCAATTTTTATTCTCAACTGGTAGGCCAAATGGACCATTGATGGGTCCTTTAGTGAGCCCTCTGAGTTTCAGTTCTATGTTATTCCCTCCCCTGGGAATAACTTTCTTCTCATCCCACCTGACCCTTCTACCAAGTCTCTTCTTCCTCTGCAAAGCCTTTCCAAGTCGTGCAGCTAGAAGACTCAGTGTTCTCCTCTAGATGTTGCTCAGATGTGTTGTTATAGGTGTCCCCCAATGGGCCACAGTCTGAAAACGTGAGTTTTCTGAGCTGCTTTGTTTATTGTTTTTTTTATCCCTTTCTCTGGGCATAGCATCACTTTATGTTCCTCATAAATAGGTGCTAAGTTGGACCTCACAGGAGACCAACCTTTCCCAAAGCACACTCTTTAAAACAAAGCTCTGAAAGGAAATTGATTCACAAAATATAGCAGCTCATTAAAGATTCTTAAAAGTCTTGCGGTAACAAAATCTATCAAACCAGAATTTTGCAAGCCTCTTTGATTATAAGATGTTTCTTGACTGAATACTTCAGCACCAAACCTTGGGAAAGCCAAGATGTTTATTGTCTTTGAGGTGTTTTGTTTTTTTTTTTTTGGTGGTACTAGGGAGTTGAACTCAGAGTCTCAAGCTTGTCAGGCAGGTGCTCTATTACTTGAGCTACACAGCCGTTTTTGCTTTAGTTATTTTCCAAATAGTGTCTGATGTTTATGGCCAAGCCAGCCTGGATCAAGTCCTTCTGTTTTCACTTCCCATGTAGCTAGAAGCACAGACAGACACTACCATGTCAAGCTTTTTTGTTGATGTTGAGATAGAAGTCTTTTTTTTCCTGGGCTGACCTTGAACCACAGTCCTCTCAATCTTCTTCTATTGTAGATATAAGCCACTGTGCCCAACTTAATGCTTTCTTTCTTTGTCTTTCTTTTTTTCTTTTTGACAGTCATGGGACTTGACCTCAGGGCCTAGGCACTGTTCCTGAGTGTCTTTTGCTCAAGAGTGTCTTTTAGCACTCTACCACTTGAGAGACAGCACCATTTTTGGCTTTTTCTGTTTATGTGGTACTGAGGAATCAAACCCAGGCTTCATGCATGCTAGGCAAGCATTCTACCACTAAACCACATTCCCAGCCCATAATGCTTTTCTTATAACCTCTTATCATCAGCCCCTTGCTTTTTAAGGTCATCACCCAGCAAAGAGGTTTGCTGTTTATATTTCTTCCTAGTCATGTGCTTACCAACATGCCCAGCTCCTGAACACCTCTTTTAAAGGCTGCTTCTCTGAAAGTTACCTGTGACACCACCAGACATGTCTTGGACATAAGCCAAAGCAGGACAGCCTGCTGAGTCTCCCTGAGCATTACTTGTTAGGCTAGAATGGCCAGTTGGTTCTTGTAGGGAACTCCCAGATCCTTTCTCCAGAGAAGTCTTGTGTTCCCGTTACATCCACCTACTAAGTGGGATTCTGCCTTATTCTTTGCAGAGTGAAATAGAGAAGCTGAAAGCTGAAAACGACCGGCTGAAGTCAGAGTCTCAAGGCAGTGGCTGCAGCCGGGCTCCTTCGCAAGTGTCCATCTCTGCCTCCCCAAGGCAGTCCATGGGCCTCTCCCAGCACAGCCTGAACCTCACAGAGTCAACTAGCCTGGGTGAGTGGCTGCGGGGTTGGAGGCAGGCCTGAACCTGCTGCTGACATTCTGTTCTCCAAGCAAGAGCCCCAGGATAAGCAGGTCACCAGATCAAATGGAGAGGCAACAGGCGTGTGTGCACTTAGGGTGTGTGTGTCTGGGTGTGCGTCTGCTACCAACATGAGCCCAGCCATTAGAGTGCTCTCATGCTTTGCTCCAGTGCCCCAAATTCTCCAAGCCATGAGCTTGGATTCCCTCTCCCACCACGCTGAGTTCTGTTTGATCCATTTTTAGAGGCTGACCCATAAGATGAATGCTGCGTACACTTCACAGTAGCAGGTTCCAGATGGACAATGGCTTGGCCTATGGCCTTCCTGCCTTCAGGATGGAGCCAGGCTGGCACATCATCTGCAAACATGACCTAGGTTTTCTTTTTAAGCATATTGAGGCTGATGCTTTTATTTTTTTATCCATGATGCTGCTCTTGCTCTTGTTTTGGTTGAGTCTCTCCCTGCACTTCATTTGGCAAGATACATCGTCAGCCTGCTGGCTCTTTGGTTGGCCCACCATTGGTTTCTGTGGTTGCATTCTCCATTCTACCCTTTCCCTTTTCCCTTCCCCCACCCACTTCCCTTGCAGCCCGACACCCTGCTTTGTGCCGCTGCTGTCACCACAGGCAGCCGGGGTGTCAGGAAGCCGGCTTTGCTGTCCCCATGTGCCTAAGGCTGTTGATGTTTTCCATTCGCAGACATGTTGCTGGATGACACTGGTGAATGCGCGGCTCGGAAGGAAGGAGGCAGGCATGTTAAGATAGTTGTCAGCTTTCAGGAGGAAATGAAGTGGAAGGAGGTTAGTTGGATCCCTTTCCCTGCTCTGCCTGTCCCTTCTCCAGGTAGAACTGCCTAGTTTAGTGATTTAATCATAAACCTGATTCGCCTAACTGCTAACACCTTTCTTAATACAGTAGTCCCCTCTTATTCGTGGGGAGTCACATTCTATGATCCCCATGGGATGCCTTAAACCACCAAATCAACAAGCATCATGTGTGTTTTTTCTACACACATACATCTATGGTAAAGTTAAATATACAAACTAGGTACTTTAAAAGATGGGCAACCGCTGGGCACTGGGGCTCATGCCTACCAACCTGGGTAGGAAAGTCAGTTAAACTCTTATCTCCAATTAATCACCAGAAAATTAACACCAGGAAGTGGTGCTATGGCTTAAGTGGTAGATCGCTTGCCTTGAGCTGAAGAGCTCAGGGACAGCGCCCAGGCCTAGAGTTCAAGCCCCATAACAGACCAAAAAAAAAAAAAAATCAAAAGATTGCCAACAATAACTGCTAATAAAATAGAACTAATAACAAGATACTGGGTTGACTATGGGTAACTGGACCTTGGATAAGTGGAGACTACTGTGACCTTAATTCCCAGCAATAAGCAAATGACACTTCCCTTTCTCTCATTTACAAGTCTAATAAAACATACTAAAACCAGCCCCATGTTATACTTTCCTGTGATTAACACTAACATCTTCAAAAATAGCCTTTCTGAATTGAATGTATTCCCAAAGCACTTCCAAGGCAGCTAAGCACATTTAGTACCTCCTCCTGACAGTCAGTCCACTGACTGAACTCAGCTGGCCTCAAGCATGGTTTTCTCTCATCGGAGGCTACAGACAAAGGAGACACCCGGAAACAGCGACCAAGTTATAGGAACACTCAGGCAGCCAAGAGTAGAGCTGGAAGTGTCTTGCGTCACCATGCTGGGGATCAGTTTTCTGATTGCAGTTTTCATTCTTCCAGAGTCTGTACTACAGCTAGAGACTCTATGAGGGTGGAGTTGGGGGTTTACCAGTGAAAGTTACATTTTACTCAATGATTAAATCCCAGTGATATTGTGAAGGATCTTGGCTCAAGTGGGATAAGGCCTCAAGAGGCACCATTTCAAGTCTCCTTGAATTTTTAGTTTTCTTGTAGCATTTCTAGCCAGTATTCTGTTTCAATTTCAGACAGCTAGAGAACCCCAGTGCCTATCACCACAGTGTCTGCAGCCAGGCTTTTCTCTGCCAGGGTCCACTTTGTGGTCAGCTCATTTATCTCACTGAAATGGTAAGAAAGTCCACACTTTGATAGCCTCCAGGAGTTGAACCCCTTCTCAGGATCCAGCCAGCAGAGTGATAGCTCATCAAGAGAGAAATTCATTTTTAATTGCACTCTTCTAGTAAATACAGGCCATATTGTGAATGTGAATTATTCTAGTAGCCATCAATATGAACAGATCAAGCTGATGGTTTTCAAAAGTTTGCAAGTCACTTTCACTGATTATTTCCAGTTTACATCAGTATCCAGGAGAAGCTGGCCGACCAGGGGTTGTAATCTACATTTTGCTGCTAAGAATCCTAGGAGCCAAGTGTCACTTACTTGAGGCCACCAGGCAAGGAGTGGGGTCGGCTCATCTCCCTGCAAAACTAGTGTACTATTTTCTCTGTTGATTTTGCTTAACTGCCACAAGCTTCTGCCCAGTCCCACCCCTCTCTTGTGTCCGTACAAGCATATGAAATATTTAAAAACCCAACAGAATGGAATGTTCTATCAACTTTCTTTTTTAATTGATACGATCAGTTAGCCCCTGTGGTTATAGATGTAAAAGAAGTAGAAGAAAGGTCTGGGTTTTTTTTTTTTTTTTGGCAATCTTCCCGGAGTTTTACTACTTTTCTGGATTCAGCATGTTTTATCTTTTAATAAGAAAAGGAGTGAAAATATTTTTTGAAAAGGATGGAAACATTCTTGTCCTGAAGAAGTTCTAAGGTGTAACAAGGAGAAAAATTTGATTTAAAAAAAAAAGGCTGAAAGTAACTATACACAAGTACAGAATATATCACTGTATAAGTTGTACTCTGAACCTGTAGAGCAGTCTAAGCTCTGAGCCAGGTAAAGACTTCCTGGAAGAGGTGAGTTGTTAGGAAAGATTTGAAAAGGGAGAGATGGCATCTAGAAGGTAAGAGAAGATTCCAGGAACATGTGATGCATGCTCTGTACAAAGTATGCACTTAGCAGACAGTGGATTCTGTAGAGAGGAGATTCTTGACTTCCTTAACCCATAGCAATTTCAGCAGTAGAGCAGGGAACGTTTTAAGGATATTGCATTCCAGCCAAGTGCTGCCTGGTATATAACCAATAGAACTTTCTTCCCTTCTCAAACCACTGGTGGAGTTCTAAGGAAAAATAAATCCTCTCCCGAACTGGGACAGAAATCTACCTGTTTGTTTGTTTGTTTTTAACCTGTTTACATTTTCTTACCCTTAGGACTCCAGACCACACCTCTTTCTTATTGGCTGCATTGGAGTTAGTGGCAAGACGAAGTGGGATGTGCTGGATGGGGTGGTTAGACGGCTCTTCAAAGTAAGTGTCTCAAGAAGAAAGCTTTGGCAGTGGACTCAGGGAGGGAAAGGGAGGTTTATGTCCTGAATGTGGCCATTTCCCTGGCTTGTTCTCTCCTCTACATCCTTATGTTATAGAGACTTGTCCCCTGGCCTACAAAGAAACAGAAGGCCCATCATAAATCCAGACTGGTGATTAGCTACACTCTTTCCGTCTGCTTTAGAGAGTGACTAGCCAGCTAGTGGTGGTCTACACCTGTGATATCAGCACTCAAGAAGCTGGGGCAAAAGAATCACAAGTTCAAGGCTAGCCTGAACTACGTAACGAGTTCTAGCCAACCTAGACTACATCCTGGTACCCTGACTCAAAACAAAATGAATGAAAGGGGGGAAAAAAGCTTCAGATTAGACATTCTTAGATTAGAAATACAACTATTCGGGTTTCCAGGGTCATAGTGAATGAAAAAGTTGAAACCACTCAAGGCCTATAATTGGGACTCATTTTAGTTGTCCTTATAATGAAGGGACCTGTCACATCATTACTGACCTAAAGCCTTTTGCTCACCAACAAGGGGACATTTACCAAATTGAGTACATTTCCCTTTTTAAACTAGGGCTTCCTCTAGAAGCCCTAGGTTTTGCTTTCTTTGTTACCACTATGGTCTTTGCTCTGAGTCAACAGTAGTGGCTGGTGAAGGATTTCCTGTAGGAATTCCCAGCACCATTCACAAGATACCAGCTGAACCTAAGAAAAGCAGCCTACCTTTTCTGTGCTTGGTTCATCTAGACTAAACGTTCACAATCTTCCTAGGGGTTTATTTTTTTTCCCCCTCTTCCATCTCTTAACCAAATAAATCTGTATTTTAAGAGGCTTGGGATACTAAGGCTTTATATATATAGTCAGCTCCATAGCCTGATTTCAACCCAGACATCATCTGAGAAAGAAGAGACATAAATCATGCAGTGAAAATATGAGTCATGGGCAGATTTTAGCCACCTCTTCGATGGGGTCTATATTTTATTTTCTCTAGGAATACATCATTCATGTGGACCCTGTGAGTCAGCTGGGGCTGAATTCGGACAGTGTTCTTGGCTACAGCATTGGGGAACTCAAACGCAGCAATGCTTCTGAGACCCCTGAGCTCCTTCCATGCGGCTACCTGGTCGGGGAGAATACTACTATCTCTGTGACAGTCCGAGGTAAAAAAGACCCTTGCAGAGATGGGGCTTTCGGGAATCTCACTGAGTTTGTGTCTTGGCACAGATTTAGTTGGTGCATATATATATGGGTGTGTTTCCCCCCATTCCTTCTACAATTACCTAAGCCAGTTGAGTAGGCTACAGCTTTCTCAATCACCACCTGAAACAAATTGTTTTAGCTTATTGCTAAAATTACATATCAAAAGGTCTTATTAGTCTTATGACTCTGAGATGATGGCATCTTAATAACCCCTTAATAACTCCATTGAAATGGCAATTTACCAATAGCAACCAGTGTTTCCTGCTAGCCAACCTTGGATGAAGTCCCATTGTACAGATGGGGCAAGTCGGATGTGCTGTAGGCTACACGGGTCGCTGTAAGCATCCTGATGCAACTGCTAAGCTCTTGCCCAGGCATGATGCAGCTCTAGATGCCAAAAACCTCATCACACAGCAATGTTAAGCCCCAGGCCACAGTGTGTTCCATAGAACTCTGGGGTGTAAAGGATTCTCTGTGGGTGTAAAGGAAGCTTCACAGCCAGATAAGTCTGGGAACCTGCATTATTAATCCCATTTGGGTTTGAGACCTAGGGTCAGGAATGCACTGGTACTTTAATGACTCTGTTTTTGAATCCCAAGTTTAGTTCCAAATTTATTTGACAGCAAACTCCATTTATCTCCATACCTTATGAACAGAAAATTGAAATTGGTGAATGCTACATCATGCCATCCTTCTCACAGACACATTTTTTACTTTATTGAAAGGCACCAATCGACTGCAATTTTTATTTATAATTTTGGAGTTGTTTGATGCAAACTTTAATTCCTGGTAGGTTTTCTTTTTTTTTTTGGGGTCCAGTTGTGGGGCCTGAACTCTGGGCCTGGGCACTGTCCCTCAGCTCTTCAGCTCAAGGCTAGCCCTCTACCACTTGAGCCACAGCACCACTTCCGGCTTTTTTCTTTTTGCTTATGTGGTGCTGAGGAATCGAACCCAGGACCTCATGCATGCAAGGCAAGCGTTCTACCACTAAGCCACCTTCCAAGCCCCCTGGTAGATTTTCTTAAAGCACCCAGAAGTCCCCACCAGCAAATCAGGATCTCAGTCTGCAGGTGACAGATGACACATTGCCACTTAGCATACCATCCTGATAGGTGATATGCTACAATTGTGAAAGGTATAGGCTCAGATACTTGGGGGATCTGGGAGTATGTGGTAGGCAGAGCCAGATACGATGTTTACCAGGACCACGTCTATCTGTTTGGCTCATCACTGCTGTGTGTATTTTTTCTTTTTTGAGCTTTCTAGACATTGTTGTTGAAATGTCCACTGAAAACCTTGATTTATCCTATTAGGAAAGTAAAAGAAGAGTTCTTTCTGGAAATGTGACTAGAAATTTTGTAAGGCTGACTCAAGCCCATCTGAAGTCAAATGCTTATCACTGGGGTAGTCATGCTGAGTGGGATGAAGCTTTGACACTTCCTTGTCACATTTGACCCATCCCATTGGGTAGATGAAGAGTTAGGTAATTCTCCCTAAACCATCTGGAAAGAGAAAGAATTCTGCTACAAAGAGAAGCCGAAAGAGAAGCCATGGACACCGAACCAGTAATTGTTCCCCTGCCAAGACCCCTTTAAGGACAGCCAGTTACATCCTGGGTTCAGATTCCACAAGTGATCCATCAAAAAGTGACTTATTGCTAAGACCAGACCAAACCTCCATAGAAACAATGAGAGGATAACACTGTCTCTGGAGGACCAGGCCATGCTCTAGGAAGCCTGGGCTGTGGTTGTTATCAGAACATCAAGTTTCAGCATCTGGAAGGATAGGCGTAAGTTTAGTTTGTGGTGCCTGACTCTTCTATTTTTTTGGAGTGCTTGAAACTTATGCTTTGAAAACACTAAGACCTACTCAAAGGTTTGAGCTGAAAGAGATCCATCAGCTTGGTGGTTCACCTCAGTGGTCCCAGGGATGGCATATTCTGAAACGAGGCATCTGCAGTATAATCTTTTGTTTTATGGCAAAAGACCAAAACAGCGATATGTGACATTGTTTTAACAACATTTATCTTATTGCTATTGTTGACACTATTATTAAATTTAGACTAAGGCACCAGTAGCTCATATCTGTAATACTAGCTACTCAGGAAGCTGTGAGATCTCAGGATCATGGTTTGAAGCCAGCCCAGTCAAGAAAGTCCATGAGGCTCTTATCCCCAATAAACTTTTTAAAAAAAAATGTTGAAAGTAGAGTTTTGTGGCTCAACTGGCAGAGTGCTGGGGATAGTACTCAGGTCCTGAGTTCAAGTCACCATCTTGCGTCCCTCTGCACCCCCCCCCCCCAAAGAAAGTTAGATTAAGGACTCTACATTATAGTTTGTATTGGGATTTAATCCAGTATAGGGTGTATGGCTCAAGTAGAAAGCTGGTAGGCTTGCCCTCAAGCATTTCAGGACCTTCATTGTGGTCATTCTAGGGTAGTCACTGCTTGGGGGGTTATTCTTAATTGGGGAAGATTAGAAATAAACATAAATGCATTAGTAGGCACCTGTTGGCAGTGATGAATTAGTGTAAAAGGAAGATACTGCTTAATTTTTTTTAAATATCCTTTAGGTTACTTTATTACTTACATATACTGATTTCCTTGAGAGGAACTTTTAAAGCGTTTCCTTAGAGCATGAATGGCTAGCCTTGGACAAATCTTCTTCTGGGAATGATAGCAAGAAAATAACTCTTTAAGCTGGACGCCAGTGGCTCACGCCTGAAATCCTAGCTATTCAGGAGGCTGAGATCTGAGGATTGTGGTTCAAAGCCAGCCTGGGCAGGAAAGGCTGTAAGACTCTTATCTCCAATAAACCACTCAGAAAACCGGAAGTGGCACTGTTGCTCAAGTGGTAGAGCACTAGCCTTGAGTTGAAGAGCTGAGGGACAGGGCCCAGGTCCAGAGTTCAAGCCCCATGACCAACACCCTCCCCCCCACCGCCCCGCCAAAAAAAAAAGAACTCTTTAAAGCCAGATGTAACACACACACACACACACACACACACACACACACACACACACACACACACACACACACACACACACACACACACACACACACACACACACACACACACACACACACACACACACACACACACACACGGCTTTATGGTCGAGTGTCTGCCTAACATGTGTGAGGCCCTGGGTTCAGTCCCTAGTACTACTAAAATAGACAAAAAAAAAAAAAAATCCAACTAACCAACAACAACAGAACATCTCTTTTAAAGCCAGCAACTTTGATCAATGAAGTTTTCCTAGGTGGGAAAGTGAAAAGATAAGTTCTCACTTGATATTGTTGAAGAATAAAGGTCTCAGCCTGGGTCTGCCAGTCAGTAACTCACATTCCAAAATCACGTTCTAAAATCAAATGATTCCTCCTAGTGTTATTCTTTATTGAAAGATGCAAGTGTTATTGTTTTCATACCTTAATACTACATCCAAGTTTGGGTAGCATGGTATCTGATAGTCCAGAGAGAACAAGAAGGAAGAGGCAACCCCAGGATTATGGCAGGCACAAACAGACAAGACTCAGGTGTAGCTTGGGCAGAACCCACAAGTATATAAATCCAGATAGATAAGCAGATCTTAGATCCTCTGCAGAATACAGGACTAAGGGCCTAAATATTAAAGCCCAAGTATTTCAACCTAAATATTAAAGGAGAGTATAAAGCTGAGAAAGCTAGCCAAGACAGAGACCAGAAGCATGAGGTGCTGATGGACAGGAGGTGACTTCCAGAAGCAGTTGATATTTGACTGAAAGTCAGTATACCTTGGTGGGCGGGTGAGTGAGCTGCCAAGGAAAGTGATAATGTCAGGTCTTGAGGTTCCCAAGTATGCAAACACAGCTAGCTGTCCTTCAGGTCTTCACATGCTCCTTGTCTTTCTCAAATGCAGGGCTTGCAGAAAACAGCCTGGACTCACTGGTATTTGAGTCTCTGATCCCCAAGCCCATCCTGCAGCGCTACGTCTCCCTGCTGATAGAGCACCGACGTATCATTCTCTCTGGCCCCAGTGGCACTGGGAAAACCTACCTGGCTAACCGGCTATCAGAATACGTAGTGCTTCGAGAGGGACGGGAGTTGACTGATGGAGTCATCGCCACCTTTAATGTGGACCATAAATCTAGCAAGGTGAGTTTGCTGCATGTTGGGCCCACTCAGAACAAGTGATCCCACCACTTTTTGATAGGAAACAGCATCTACTATATGGTCTTTTTCACAGACAGCAAGGGGGAAAGGGGCAGAATGGGACTGGCAGAAAGAAAGGCCTGGAATCAGATCCTCCTAGCTAGAAGTTCCATCATCCATTGGAGATTTCAATTCCGTTCAGTTGTGATAAACAGTGCTAATGGCTCTAGAAGACCATCCCAGATACACCCAACAATTTACCAGTATTTTGATGCTATTATGTTAGTGGTTTTCCAAAATAAAATGTTTTGTGGAACAGTAACAAGGGAGCAACACTATCAAAAAAACAACAGCTCATACTTAAAGCTGTTTGTTCCATGAGCAGCAAACTTGTCCTCACAACAATACTTCAAGAGAGTAATTGTCCCTATGACCATTTTGCAGAAGGGAAAACAAACTGGAGATTGATTTTCACATGCTTAGGACTTCTCAGATGGTACTAAGTGGTATAAGTGAATGGTATTAAGCGGAGCTCAAGTTGAAGTCTCAGTCACTAGAGCTCTGTGGCAATCAAGGAGCTTGAGTGTGGCAGGATGTTTGGATGGGATCTGACCTAGCCCCCATTAGGAACGGTTGTGTTTTCTCAGACCTGTTCATTCATTCAGTGAGAACTGATAATTACTCATTCTAACTGGCCCTATGAGAATGCCCAGAGAATCAAAGGTAATGTGGAAATGGCTCTCCTATCTTAGGAGTCATCAGTGTGTTCGAAGATGCAGATTCAAGCCTTGCTCTTGGGTCATCTCGTGATAGTTTGTGTGGGGCCCAATAATCTACACCATTCACAAGTTCTCCCGTGTGATTTTGATATCAGAGCAGGACAAGACTGCAGAGGCTATCTGTGTAGGGCCTTCATATGAGTGAGGAATAGAAAGCCCTGGCAGGCACAGCTGAGGAGGTGCACCTGGGTTGGATTTGAATCCATCTCAACAAGGCATCCTTGTACAGAACACAGCTCACCAGCTGAACACCGCAGGTTTCTTGAATACAAGAAGAGCGTACTGTGAGTCACAAGGAGCCAGGAGCCCTGTCCATGGCGAATAGAGCTAAAGGAAGTAGTGAGAAGTTGAGTTGTCCTGTGGCTACCAAACCCTATTTTGACTTAAAAGAGACATCTGGGGTGGATGTGTGCCTACAGGAGATAGAGGAACTGTCACCTTCTAAGGAGCAAGGCCAGGGTCTAAGACAGGCTGGGGTGATAAAGACATACTGAGATGGGCACTTGTGTCTGAATCTAACCCATTGCCTGCTCTCAATATGGTCTCAGGCCAGTCATCTGACTTTGATGTGCAAGCAGCATTTCCATCTTTAAAATAGAGCTAATGACAATACCTCCCTCACAGGGTTACTGGGTTACAGAAGTCCATGTGTGTGAGTGCTCCAAGTAATACCAGCTACAGCTGGAACAATGTTATCAGTCCTGTGTGCCCACGAGTCCTTTTGCTTCACTGCACCTTTGCTCTCCCTGTTCCTTTCCTGACACACATTCCTTCCCCATGCTCACTGGGCTGTGTTCTAGTCCCAGCTGTGTCAATGCCCTACCCATTGTGAAAACCTGCCCCTTCCACAAGACCTTCTAAGGACTCCCCACCTCTCCCCCAGCCTCAGTGCATGTAGACTCATCACCCCCTGCACTCTTGTGGTTTCTGCTGTGGCACTCGTCGCCTGTGTGTGAGGGGGAACTTCTGCTACATTGATGTGAGCCCTCCATAATGTTTTCATAGCTCCCAGGCAGGTGCTGTGGCACAGAGGTGGAGAAGGCACCCAGGGTACCTTTCAGGGGCCTACTGGAGGTTTGCATAATAAATATCAAAAGAGCAATGAAGCCTATTGAAACGGTTTTAAGAAATGAGGAGGGTGGATGAGGGAAAAAGATGGAAGGGATAAATATGATCAGGGCACATTGATTATGGAAAAGACACCGAAACCCCCTTGTACAATTAATATAAGCTAATACATCACCATTAAAAAATAAAAAGTGAATAAAGGTGACATTTTCCTCGAGAAGTAGTAGAAATGGGAACTTAAAACGGCCTCTTTGACGGTTATCCAGTAACTGCCAGGAGGAAGCATGCAGGCCCACCCATCATCCCCGGAGCACTAAGCCCATATCCTGTAGCAACAGGCAGGTGTGTTCACAGCGCAACACTGTGAAGCGTCCTGATTGGGCAAATGGAGGGCTGAGCGAGTGCATCTTACTGGGGTGTGCTCACGGCTTGCTCTTTCCCCACCTTTCCTATACACTACAGGAATTGCGCCAGTACCTGTCCAACCTTGCCGATCAGTGCAATAGCGAGAACAATGCTGTGGACATGCCCCTCATCATCATCCTTGACAACCTACATCATGTCAGCTCTCTTGGAGAGATCTTCAATGGGCTACTCAACTGCAAGTACCATAAATGGTAAGGGTGGGACCTAGGGGTTTGGCACTGGCTGATGGGGAAGGTGTGTGGGCATGCTTGGCATGCAGGTGTCCCAGGTTGGCTAGGGAAGGGAGGCAACTAGCTGATTATCTGCATGGACCCACAGATACCACAGACTTCTTCCTCTTCTTGTATTCCCTCCTCCCCCAGCCCTTATATCATCGGCACAATGAACCAGGCTACCTCTTCTACTCCCAACTTACAGCTTCATCATAACTTCAGGTAAGGCATTACTTCCTTTGTCTAGGTGAATGGGAAAATGCAAAGAAAGAAAACAAGGGTAAAATGTCTTCAAAGAAAGAAAAAGTCTGTATTGAATATCTGTTACATGTTGGGTTAAGCACTTTTTTTTCCAGCTTAACTCATTTAATTCTGTCTTCACCCTAAAGTAGTTACAAGCATCGTTCTCAGCTTATACATGGGAGAACAGAGTCAGAGAATCCTGTATGAGATCACAACAGCCTGTCAGTGACAGAGCCAAAACTTGAATCCTGGTCTCTGTGACTCTGGGTCCCTGTGGAGTAGTGTCAGGAAGGCAGCTCTGGAGAGGCCGTAGGCACTTTACTACTCTGGCACATTACAATGGTGTGTCTCTCCATCCCAGATGTCCTACTTACGAGTGTGTGCACATAGCTGGCTGTGTAGGCCATCAAGATCCAGCTGCTGTTAATATCGGTAGCTTATCTTCCCTCCCATACAGTTCAACACTGCATGAGGTTGTGTTGCTGCTTGTCATGGCATCTGTCAGAACCCAGAGTCCTGCCCTGAGCTGTACTTTGGCCTTTAGATGAGGGAGAGAAATCAACTCCTGAATGGAAACCCTGGCTTTATTTTCAACTGTCCACTAGATAGATAGGCCTCTATTAAAAACAGCTTGAGGGAAGTGGTGTTGTGGCTCAAAGTGGTAGAGCACTAGCCTTGAGCTGAAGAGCTCAGGGATATCACCCAGGCCCAGAGTTCAAGCTCCATGACTGACCCCCCCCCCAAAAAAAAAAAAAAAAAAACATAATCCTTAAAAACAGCTTGGGGCTGGGAATGTGGCTTAGTGGTAGAACACTGGCCTAGCACAGATGAAGCTCTGGGTTCGATTCCTCAGTACTACATAAACAGGAAAAGCCGGAAATGGTGCTGTAGCTTAAGTGGTAGAGTGCTAGCCTTGAGTATAGAGAGCCCAGGCCTTGAGTTTAAGCCCCAAGACTGGCAAAAAATAAATAACCTGAGCTGTAATAATCAAATATCAACTCCACCAGGCTTGAGCCTGGTTCCCCTTTCTTCTGGGCTATCTATGCCTTCTCCTAACTGTCCCTCACTCTTGTTCTCCTCTTCCCATCCATCTCTATCATATCATGTCCCTAGACACTATTGCAATCATTTTCTAACCATTTCTGACTTGCCTGCCTCCAGCTTATTCCTCTCTTTCCTGTGATAGCCAGGTAAGCATCCTAGCTCATCTGACCTCAGAGCCATCTTAGTCCAAGTTCTCCAGTGACCACCCATTGCCTGCAGATGAAATCTTAAGTTGGAAGGTCAAGTCTAAACTCTGGCAGTTCCCCCAAACATCTGTTTTCCATGCCATTTATGCTCTACCTCCTTTGTGGCTCTGCTCTGGTAGCCCCTCCTCTGAGGAGCCTCCCCCAGTGCCAACACTTTTGTCATGTCTCATTTCTCCTTTTGCTTGTCTACCGTCTCCACTGGACTGGGAGCTCCTGGGGGCCAGGGAGTGCATCATGGTCATTAGAGTTCCATATCTCAGCACAGAGCCGGACATCAAGCATAAGGGGCAGTCTGTCTATGCTAAGACAGTTCAGCCTGTCTAAGCTCAGACTTTGGAGCCCGACTGTCTTGATGGTTCAAATCTTAGCTCTTTTATTAATCAGCAGTTAGACAAGTTATCTAACCTATTTTTTTCCTTGGCATTTCTACCTGAAAAATGGGAATGGTATTGATGTCTGTGTCACAGGATTGCATAAGGAATTGTGAGTTAACACATATGCATAGCAATTAGAACAGTGTGGTGAATAGTGAGTGCTATTCTACTATTACCGTTTATACCTTCCATTTCTAACATGCTTTGGATGTTAGCCACTGTTTTGTTTAACTGTCATCATTGCTAAAAAGTGTTCCTGACTTCCTCCAGGTGGGTGCTTTGTGCCAACCACACAGAGCCCGTGAAGGGTTTCCTTGGCCGCTTCCTGAGGAGGAAGCTCATGGAAACGGAGATCAGTGGGCGGGTGCGGAATGTGGAGCTGGTGAAAATCATTGACTGGATTCCCAAGGTCTGGCATCACCTCAACCGCTTCCTGGAGGCTCACAGCTCCTCAGATGTGACCATCGGTAAGTGGGAGGCTGGCAGAGGGGGGCAAGGCTGGCTGGTGGACAGCGATGCCTGCAGAACTCTTGGCTGGGCCCTGGCTGGTCTAGCACTTCACGGGATGATACGTTGTCCTTTTGAGTACAGAAAGGGTCAGAGGGACAATTGCAGACCTAGGTGGATCCCTGAGCACAGTGATCATCAGAGATGGTTCCTTCCCAGGCTGATGAAGAAGAAGGTCTACAGGCTGAAAACACCCTTGGGGATTGGCTTTCAAAATAAAATTGTAGAGCATTGCTGAAGAAAGAAAGAAAAAAAAAAAGATCACTACCCATTACACCATCCTGACAATACAAGTTCAGTCTGAGCTTATTTTCATGCTTGTGCGATCAGTCACAGCTCACACACACAGTATGTTCCTTTTCCTTCCTGTTGCAATGTCTCCTGATCATTCTGTATTGCTACTCAGTTTTTTTAAGACTGCAATATAGTCAAATGTGGATTTTCTGTCATTCATGTAATCATTTCTTCTCCTTTGGACATATAGTATGTCCATTTAAAAAAAAAAAAAATTAAGCTCAGTGCCACAGAGAATATCCTTTCTTTTGGGTGCATTTGTTGAGAGGCAAGATGAGGGAATCAGAAGGTCCCACTCCATGCCCAGCAGCTGGCAGCTGATATTTCTGCCATCAGCCCTGCTATTGTTCAGAAAATCCAGGGTCCCTGTGGTGAGTGGTATTCAGACCAGGGTTTCTTCTGGCCTTTCTATTCTCTACTCGCTTTCAGTTCTGACACATTTTCACTGTGGTCCCCAGGCCCCCGGCTCTTCCTCTCGTGCCCCATTGATGTGGATGGCTCCAGAGTGTGGTTCACCGATTTGTGGAACTACTCCATCATCCCCTATCTTCTGGAAGCTGTCAGAGAAGGACTCCAGGTGAGATGCACACACCTGTTGGTTTTCTCAGAGTTGCAGAGGACTTTTCTAGTGACTAGAGAAGGTCTTGTTATCTCTCTTATTCCAGAACCTGACTGACATGGGAGGATGGGAGGTTGCCATCACCTGTGTGGCTGTGTGGTCACCAGTCTAGTACAGTATAGTGTAGGAAGAGTTGGTTGCCAGTGCTGCCCGGCTTAAACCCATATTATCTGTGATCCCAGTCAAATTGTTACAGGGATAGCCCATCTCCATGCCTGGAGGAAATGTGGCATCGCCCCCTAGTGGATACTAGATAGTTTTGCAAGTTCAGGTTTCTTGCCTAGTACAAGCGTGTCTGTGTGTGTGTGTGGTGTGTGTGTGTGTGTGTGTGTGTGTGTGGTGTGTGTGTGTGTCTGTCTCTGTCTGTCTGTCTGTCTGTCTGTGTACTCTGATACTTGTGTGCGTCTGACCCCCCACAGGGTCAGAAGGCTCACAGTGGCCTTATTTTTAGTTTCCAAAGCCTTGGCTCCTTGTCTTCCTCTTCCCATTCTTCCCAACCCAGTGGGGATACCAGGCTCCTCTCCTGCCTTGGGGAAAGTGAGTGTTCCATCTGTCTGTCTAGCCAGTTGTCTCTGCTGCTGCCCTGAGGGCTCTGCAGTAGAGCCAAGGAACTTCATGGTATTTTCTTTGCTTGCCACAGTACTTATTCAGCCATTCATCCAGTGGCATATACACCTCCTTCTCATGCTCTTTTTTCCTGAGCAGACTATGAGTTTTGCTTAGGTTGCCAAGCTGAGTTCCCAAACCTGAGACTCACCAATGCCCCAGGTTAAGGAAGACACAGTAGCAGACACAGCACACCAGACAGTGATGAGGTCATAGGAGGCTCTTGAGAGGAGGAGGCAGCCGTTAGGACAGAGAGCTAGGCAGGTGAATGGCATTTAATACAAAAATCAGACACAAAGGTCTGGGGTGGTTTGTGTGATAGGGGAAATTAGACCAACTGGAAGGAATGATGAGCCTAGTGCAGACTGTGCTGATCTCCCGCTTGAGGTCTGGTTGAGTCCCCTGTCTCTGGCTGATACACAGCAGTTCAAAGTGGAGTTAAACAAGAGGGGTAAGACAAAAAGACCCAGAAAAGGAAGCTAATCCTGGGTTCAAATCCAAAGCTACTGGCTTTGCTCCTTAGGTCCTGATTTCTCCATCTGGTAAGTGAGGAGGTAGACTAGATATCTCCAGCTCTTTCCAACTGAGGCAGCCTCAGACTCAGAAACATCTCATTTCATTGATTCACAGCCCAGCTCTGTCATAAGTACTTCTGTCTCTTCTCTCTCTCTCTCTCTCTTCTCTCTCTCTCTTCACGTATATTGGTTTTATAAAATTAAGTGATCATTTACTGTTTTAAGACCAAATTAGTTATTATGGCTAATTTTGAAAAATAGATGATGGAGAGAAGCACTTGCAATTCTACTGCCCACATACAACCTTCTCTACCAGAAATTAGCTCTTTTGAAGGGACCCACATTGCTATAGAGAGACTCTGAGAGTCAGACCCACTTTAAGAAATGTGGCTTCATTGATCTTGAGTTCATTGGTGACCCCTGCTGGCCATATTGATGCCAAGCACCCAATTTAGGTAGCTCAATCTGGGTGGATGCACACAGTGGAGTTCCAGGGCTGGCTTGTGCAAACTGATCATGAGCACCTCTTTCCAATTCTGTGTTCAGTGATCTCATGTTGGTAGCTTGAAACCAGCCATGGTGAGAGTATTTACACCATGGAAATTGGCAAATGCTTTAAATGGGATTGTTCCTTTTGTCCTTGGAGCAATTTTTCAACTTGAACTAGCTGAGAGCAAGCTCAGCTCAGCTGGTCTCCCCAGAACCCATGTCCTCCACCTCTAGGTCCTGGGTCCTAGTTCTTGCTGTGTGAGTTAATCTGCATCTTGAGTGACTTGCTTAGGGTAGGATTCTCAGCAAGGCATAATGCTGACATTGGGAGAGTTTTCCAGAAAGCTGTCAAACGAGACCTGCTTCTAGACTGTTTCTTGTCTATTTTCAGCTCTACGGAAGGCGTGCCCCCTGGGAGGATCCTGCCAAGTGGGTGATGGACACCTACCCATGGGCAGCCAGCCCACAGCAGCATGAATGGCCTCCCCTGTTGCAGCTACGGCCTGAGGATGTCGGCTTTGATGGCTACTCTGTGCCTCGGGAGGGGTCCACAAGCAAGCAGGTGCCCCCTAGCGATGCTGAAGGAGACCCGCTGGTGAGTTCTCAGCTCAGCACTCATTGAGCACTGCCCGTACATTCAGCAGAACGTGACGCAGGGCACGTTGAAAATATGAAAGTAAGTACACTCGGCCTTGCTTTGGAAGGCAGGCCCCACCCCAAACCTAGGGACATTTTTGCCAATGTTTTCTTCCATGGATTTACTTTTGCACTAAAGCATGTAACCTTGAATTGTTTTCTTATAAAATGTTCAAGAGTATGATTTCTTTTTTCCACCTTAAATGTGCCTGTACCTATCATCTCTACTGTAACTGCAGTTACAGTATTTGCTCTCTAATGTGGGATGTCACCATTATCATGTGCTGTGTGGTTTCTCTTATGTCTCGTATTGAAAGCTGAACAGAGGAACAACCAGAAGCTCAAGTCAACAAGGAGGAGCAAGACAGAGAGAGGTCAAGAACAGGAGTGCCCATGGAGGGTCAGGAGTCTGAATCGACATCCCCTGAAATGGGCTTGAGCTTTATAACCTCCCTAACCACTGCTAAAGCAAAGGTGGCCCTTTGAAAAATGCCCAGACAGAGATGATAACATCTCAAAACAATTCTCTAATTCTCTACCAATAAAAGACTCATACATACTCATTCTGCCAAGTTAGAACAAACCAACCAAAACCCTTATAAAATAAGGAGGAAGTGAATCTACCCAAACCTCCCACAGTTGAATGACCATCATTATGCCTGCAATTTAGCCTCAAGCTTCCTTGGCAGCTAAAGCAAAAAGGAAAACACAGCAAAGAATATTATGTATACCCCTAATGAAAGAAGATATTCATAAGAAGTGCAGCAGGATTAAAAGACAACTAACTTGCTGTTCTATCCCTAATGGCCAGGTGATTTGCAAGATAAAAAGAATGACAGGTGATACTTGATACAGGTTGTCTGCCAGGCTGCTGAGTGGTACAGTTGAGCTATGGTCCTGTTGAGGATGTAAACTAGGACTTAGTGATGGTGTGGTACTATGTACAACCTAGTTTACAGTGTTTACAAGAGTAGCTTTCCAGAAGAAAAGCCAGACTTTAACAGCCATTTCTAATGGAACCACCACTAAAGGCTTAGGTCATGGGGGTGTTTTGGGTGTGGGTAAGCACATGAAGTCTTAACTTACATAAAAGTAGCACCTAGGATATCTAGAGAAAAGAATGGCCAGCCCTTCTCTGTCCTGTTTTTCCTTACTCAGGAATATCTGTATCACTGTTTGAACTGAGAAGGGACTTATGTAAGACCTAGAATTCTCTGGATGGTCACCCACAATTCCTGTTCCAATCCCCCAGCTCCTGGAAGTGAGCTATATCAGTTTAACCACCCCTAGTTACCAAGTAACATATTTGGTATCTCTCCAAATCTCGTTCCCTCTTCCCAGGGCTGTGGGTTTTTATCGTAATAGTTCTCCTTTACCAATCTTTTTAGTAGTTCTTTACTAATCTGCTCCCTCACAAGACTGGGACCTTTGTGAGAATGGGACTGACTTGGTTATGTTCCAGAACCATGTGCTATACCACCAGGAATGCTTGATAGGTGAAAAACGGATCCGGGCTGCCAAGGATTGTCCATTGTACTTCACTCCCAGCCCTTGTGATAGCTGTGTACATGGACAGCTTCTGGCCTGGCTCCCCAGAGAGACCAAATAATATCCTGAGAGGTAGCTGACTTCATACACAACTGTACCAATCTCAGTCTCTTAGCCCAGAGAGTCTCCTAAGCCCAGAAAGACTGTCTTCCTAACAGAAAAGAGTCATACCCGCTATAAGAAATACAACACACACACACACACACACACACACACACACACCACTTAGAAGCAAAAGAAGTGTTTCATTTTTTTCCTCTATATTGTCCAACAAATGACCGATCTCAGAGAATGCAGACCAGGGAAACTTTCAAGATCATGGTCTCAAAGCTCTTCATTCGAAGTTAGGTAAAGATGGCATCCAATCACATTTGTGACGCTTTTGCTCTTACCAGGCAGCCTCATTCCTAAGGCTTTAACACATATTGTGTCATTTCATTCCTTCAGCTGTGCACGTGCTAGGTGCTGTGGTCTTCCCATTCTTCACAAGAGGGAGCGGTGACTTGAGAGAACTGAGTTGTCATCCCGGCCTTTATTAAACTCTGAGGCTCCAGTGAAGGCTTTGGAAATAGCTGGAGCACATTTGGCTCCAGACTAATTCTGGCCAGAGCCAGGAGTCTAGATGGACTTCCTGCCTGTCCCGGGGGTGGGAACGGACAGTGTGTTCTGTATCACTTCAGTGACATTGGTGCAAGGACATTCCAAAGTCAAGGGCTACAGCTGGATAAAGGCAAACCCATCTCTAAAAAAGAATAAAAATGTAATCCTTGTACAGGACTTCCTGTTTTGTCTTTGGTGTTCTACCTATAGTAACTCAATCCATGCTATGAAGTTATATGACAGGTATTAGCTAGTGCTTAATGTCTGACCAGTGAACACACAGAAGGTTGAGTAGCTTACCCAAAGGTGTGCAGCTAATATGTGGAGAAACCAGGATTTGAACCCTAGGAGTCTGATCAAACTTCATGTTCTTGTCTTTTGTGGGCTGCCATCTCAAAGCAGTCCTGAAGGAACTGGCCTGGGCCTCTCAGAGGCCAGGAGGACAGCAGAGCCATTCACACCTCCTCTGCTCTTTCCTCAGATGAACATGCTGATGAGGCTGCAGGAGGCAGCCAACTACTCCAGCCCCCAGAGCTATGACAGCGACTCCAACAGCAACAGTCATCACGACGACATCCTGGATTCATCCTTGGAGTCCACGCTGTGACAAAGGCCCAGCTAACAGAGCCTGCCCACCTCTTCTCCTCACCCCATTCCACATGCATCCTCTACATCATCCTGAAGATGACTTCCTGAGCCAGCCCCCAGCCCGCAACCTCCGAGTTGCAGCAGTTTCAAGACCCTTCATCCCTCAGTATCCCAGGCCAACCGCCCCCGGGACCATTTCCTCCCACAGCGAGAACTGCACTAGCTCCCATTTTACTTTCGTTCTTGTTTGCCTTGTTGCTGTGACCTCCCTAAGACACTGAAGATACTTCTCGGGAAAGGAACATCACTGATGAAATGAAAAAAGAAATGGAATGAAGGGTTTTGGTTTTGTTTTTTGTTTTTTTTTTAAGAATCCACTCGGGGCACTGAAACCAAACAGCATCCTACCAAGAGCTTCCAGAAGACTGAAACAAAGTTGGAAATGAAGACAGCATGGCTTCCCCTCAGCTCAGACCCTCTAGCCTGGATCTCAAGACCAGCACCTCACAATCACACCTTTATGCACAGAAGAACTGGTGCTTACGAGGGCATTGGCCTTGGACACTCTCGACATAATGCAGAGCTGTGCCCTAGAGAAACCTTAAGAGAAAATACATCGTGCTTTTCTGTTTTTATAAATGGTGCTCTCCTTCCCTGAGAGGCATTTTACCTGTTCCAATTCAGTCCCCACTCTCGGGCCCCATCAGCCCGGGATGATCAGTGAGAATGCGTGAACAAGTGAGAATGTGAGTGAGTGAGCTGCTTCTGTTTCCTTGATTATGTCTAAATGAATCAAATTTTGTTTCTGCAAACACTGTGTGTAGTGAAAACAGTTCTTCTGGCGAGAACTGCTTACCCCTTTAAAATAGAGTTGAGTCCCCTCCTTTCTGACTCATTGCTTTTGAAGACCTTCCCACCCCTCCACCCTCTAATCCCCACCTTGATCAGAATCAATCCTTTGGTGAAAGTAAGAGCCCTAGGAGTTGAGTTTTGGTTTGGTCCTGGTAAGTTTTGGTTTAGTTGTCCATCTTCTCAGTCCTACACCCTCCCCTCCTCTTGCTGGGGCCAGGGATATTTGTGTCCTTTCAAATGGATGAGGACTGGTCCTCATGTGGGTGAGCCACAGACCTTGCCTTTCCTTCTCGTCTTTTGAGGGCTGAGAACGCACTTGGCCTCAAGCTCCTCAGCCCCAGTTTTAGGCGGGGTGGTGAGGTCACCTTGCAAAAGACTTGCACTTTCTTCAGAACCAACATGGCGCAGCTCAGTAAGGGAGGGTGGCCATTCCCTCCCGGAAGTCCAGCCCTGCCCTCCGTCCTGACGAGCCTTGCCTGACCTCTTCGGTGCTGACCTTCCCAAAGCGATGCCTTACTGGTTTTGTACTCACCGTGTTCATTCACATGAGTGTTGTGCCTGCCTGGGGTGTGTGTGTGTGTGTGTGTGTGTGTGTGTGTGTGTGTGTATGTGTGTTATGTTTTCCCCATCAAAGCAAACAGGGCTAAAAAGTCATCTGTTCATAAGAACTCAAGTTGTTGCTGTGATTTCTCATCCAAAAGATTCATCTGTGCGGATGCGTGACCATGGGAAAAAGAAAAAGGAAAAAAAAAAAAGACTTTTTTTTTTTTTTTAAGTTTTTGTCATTTCTCCAGCTAACTACCTGACTGGACAGTAATGTGTCTCATGCAGGAAAAGGCAAAAGTTCCTACAAATCCACATGACCCATTGCCCTAATAGAAACCCAATCTGCTGTGTCTTCAACATTCTGGTGTTTGCTTTACTGAGTGTATACACCTTTCAGTTGTTTATTTCTGTTTTCTAAAGAGAATCTTTATCGGGCCCTAGTGAGGGAGTCTGTTAATGATCAGGGTTTTTTATTCTATCCGTTGAATTTTCCATTTCTGAAGATTTGTCTCCGCATTTTTATTTCTTAGCATAAGAGCTTGACCTGAAACTGCCCACCCCACTGGGAATGGCACCAAATCCTCCCTCTGAAAGGAACCCAGGATGTGTCTCCTTAAGTGGTGAATAGAAAACCATTCAATACGGCCCCCAGCTCAAATTGTGAACTCACTCTCCAGCTCAGCTTTCATGACTCACCTGGGTGTGAGTGTGTCTTGTTCTGTTTTGGTTTTTAATACAATTCTTAAGGCATATAGTTAGCCTATGACTGGAGGGACCACACCCAAAGCCTTCAGGTAACCCCACAGCGTGGCTCAGTCTGTCTCCCAGCCATGACCTTACCCCCTCATACTGTGAATTTGGGAGGAGGTAAAATTGACTTCCTTGTGGGCAGTTTTTTTCCAGTCCCCTTTTGACTGCCAATAGTGTTTGATTTTTTTTTTTTTTTTGTAATGATATCCTTCCCTCTCCCAATTCCCAGACTTCTTCCCCCTGGGTCCTGGTGCTTCCTGATAGGTGAACAGTGACTCAGACAGCATAGTCCTGTGTCAAACACAGCTCAGCTTCCTTCCTAAGGTTTTAGGGAGCAGGGTTGCCTAATATGCCTGTTTTTTATTTGACCATATTTTTTTTTCTTTAGTGTCACTCATCTTTGACAAAGTGACTCTGTACTCATTTAGAGTTCTGTTTGAAATGCTTCCATTTGCCTTTTTCTACAGTTAGGCTAATGTTGAAATGTATGAAATTCTATGCAACATTTATGTGGCGTTACTGATGGAAGCCAAAAGTTGTTGTTGTTGTTGTTTTTCTCTCTCTCCTTTCCCCAAACTGCCAACAATTATACAGGCCATAAATGAGATGGGGAAAGATCTTTTTAATTTTAGGGTTGGGGGTGGGGTAGGGGTAGAACAAGGAAGAAGACTTGCCTAGACCTTCGTTGTGTCTTGAAGACATTTTTTTATTTCTTCAAAATTCTGTGCATCCAAATTTGATGGAGGCAAATCTACTTCAAAAGGAAAAATAATCCAACTTCATTGATATTGAATGGAAGGTTTGCTGTTTTGACCTAGTTGTTTCCAGTGGAGCAGTTTATGAAATATGTTCTATAAGATGTACATTTTTCATTGTAACATAGAAATTGTAAATAATTGATTAAAGTGCTGCATTTTGATGAATTTTTTCTAGCCATTTTTAAAGAGAAAACTAGGAATTGAGTATTTTGTGTACGGTATGTCTCCATCTTCCCTCCCCTTCTTCCCACCTTCCCTTCCTTCCTATTTAATTTTCATTGGTCATGAGGTTTTGGATTTGCCAATGGTCTGCTGGAGATCATGCCCCACTTCATAGAGAATAAAGCTGATGATTGTACCAGTCTTAAATTATTCATGATTCAATAAAATTGATGCTTATTTATTCAGATGAGTGGTTTGGCTTGTCTGTGCTAGAACAAGAGCTCTTTGGAGTTTAACATCCTGCCAAGAGGAAGTTGTTCTTGTCTGGAGGCAGCAAACATTTGCAAAACAATCTTTGCCAGAATGTTATCAACATTTCCCTTCCAGGCAGTGTCTCCTAGAAGTTGCTCTTCACTCAGCTTGTTAGGAATACAGAAGTTAAGGTACTGTCACGCTTTATGAACCATGCACATCTCATGAAAGGGAGCTGTTGCTTCAGTACGTTTGGGATGGCCATTGAGATTCACATTTTATACGGTTATTTTCATCCATAATTATGTTTTCTAATTCTACCTATGTGTGGAATACAGTGTGAGAATTTAATATACCTATACAAGGAATTATAACAAAATCAGGGTAATTGGCATTTCTCCTTCAACATTTATAATTTCTTTATGTTAGAAACATTAAATCTCTCTTGTAGCTCTATAAAATGTATATTAAATCATAATTGTAGAACATAAATGCATAATAAGCTGTTTGTGGGACATATTAGAATATTCTAGGATATATTCTGATATATACTGATATGTCCTAGAAATAGGATTTGTACACACAAACAGGATAGGCTAGATGACTTTGAAGAAAAAGGGAAGGAAGAGAATTATGCATTAAAGTGGTGGTACAAAAAATTGTACAAAAAATTTCACATGGAGGCTGGGAAGGTGGCTCTGGTAGAGCGCTTGCCTTGCATGCATGAGGCCCTGGGTTCGATTCCTCAGCATCACATGAGCAAAAAGAAGCCAGAAGTGGCGCTGTGGCTCAAGTGGTAGAGCGCTAGCCTTGAGCTGAGGAGCTGAGGGACAGCGCCCAGAGTTCAGGCCCCACGACCGGAACCAAAAAAAAAAAAATTTCACATGGAATTCCACATGGAATCACAGCATCTCTGACAAGTGGATAGCCTCTCAATTTCACAGGTAAGTAAAAATCCAAGTAATGTTTAAATAGTAGATCCTATCCAGTAGATATGGGATTCTCTGCTTATTTGATTCTGACACCCAAGCTCTTTCTGCTATAAGCTGCTTAAGGGTGGACTTTTAAGTGGAGAATTTTACATCCCCTCTGTATTCATTATCACTTGGTATAACAAAATTGTCCCAGAAGGGAGCAGCTTAAAGCACTATTTACTCAGAGTTCCTGTGGGCTTGGAGGCCAGCAGCATTGGCTGGTTTCTCTGCCCTGGGAGTCTTCACAAGGCTGCAATCAGCATGTATGTCTCACATACAAAAGGAATATTTAAAAGCAAGGATTATAGGAAGCATCTTTTTGAATAGTCAAATATAGAGTTGATTCCTGTTTTAGATTAGCAGTCAGATGAAGATGCCTCCTTTTACCATATAAGATGTAGATATGGTAGATATTTTAGTCAAAGCACAGAAGCAAGACAAGTTAATTTTGAGGTTTGCAAAGAAATTAAACTCAGCAAACTTTCAGATGAATTCAGTAGAATTATAGGAAAATTATTGGAAATAAATTTAATAGCAGCTGGGTGATAGTGGCTCACACCTGTAATTCTAGGTAGGAAGTCGAAATCCAGAAGACTGTGATTTGAAACCAGGTCCAGCAGAAACGTCTCTTGAGACCCTTCACCAAAAGAACAAGCAGAAAAGTAGGGCTGGAGGAATAGCTCAAGAGATAGAATACCACCATTGAGTGAAAAACCGAGGAAGAGTTCAAGACTCAAAATTCAAGCTCCAGTATCTGCAACACACACACACACACACACACACACACACACACAATCCAAATAAATGGAGAAAACTAGTTTTGTAAGTTTTAAATTTTTGATGTGAAGATAACCCTTTCTCCCACTATAAGGACTGTAGATTTCGTGCAATTCCACTTAAAATATCAATGTGGTTTTTATTGTTATTAATACTGACTATGCAATTCTTTATCATAAGGAATTACATCTTTGGTGGGAAAAAAGCCTTATAAACAATCAAATATACTGCCTTTCAATAAACTGCCTTTCAAGAAACATTTTACTATGTCATGAACATATTGAAGTATACTTTGTTTAAATCAAAGTTTACAAATTTCTTACAAAATCAATGAAGTATATCTAAGTCAGAAAGCCACAATGTTTTTGTCTTAATTATATAGTCTCCATAAAAAGATGTTAAGTTGTAGTATTTAAGATGACAGTTTTTAACGGCTTTGTGTGGTATTCACATCTGCTTAAAATTGCTGAAGGCCTCTTGGTCTACCAAGACACCTACACCAACCAACTATTAGGAACGTTTACCATAATGCCCCATCTGTTTTGCAGGATTGCAGGGGGCAACGTGTGAAGAGAGCTCTGGCCATTAGGAAGCCCTCAGTCTTCCTGGTCCTCCCAGCTCTGTCTGCCAGCCTGTATAATCCTCACAGGTATCACAGGATGGAGCATCTCGGTCTCCAAAAGCTAAGCCAGCTCTCCTGTGGACCCTGTAACAAAGGAATTGTCCTGAAAGTCCCAGGCTGCTTGCTTTCTGAGTCCTCCATTGCCATCCCCATGGACATACAGACATGGAAGTCCCGCCACGATTGACAGGAAGGTCCTGGTGTCTCTGCAGCTTTGTGAATTTGGTGGGGGGGGGGAGGTATTTCAGGAAGAGGAAATATTGGAAAGATCACTGGGATCTGGAAACCTGAAGCCATGCACCTATCCTGGTGGCTGCTCTCAAGAGAAGTCCTATTTATTTGGGGCTATAGTTGTCATTTGTCTAATGAGGGAAATGGACTAGTTTAATGGTTCCCCAGTGTAGCTGACCACTAGTGCCTGGTGAAACTAAGACTACAACTTCTCTGTAAAAGATTCAGCAGCGGATTGCAGCTGCTGAATTAGAACATACCCAGGAGGAGTCCAACCCCTATTCCAGGACTATTAAAGGCAGTCCTTTCTACCTTGAAATGGCCACCTGGGGGCGGCAAAGCACAAGCAATTCTTATCATTTCGGCAGCCTGCTCACCTCCCCTACCCCCGTCCTGTCTCCCTCTCTTTCTCCCTTTCTTCCTTTCTCTTTCCCAAGCCCTCCTTCTACCCAATGCTACATTCCAATTAAGATAATAGTAAAAGTAATTAAGTGTTCATCAGGCATCTCCCATGGACGCATGTGACCTGACTAAAAAATGTGTGGAGCTGGTGCTGTCCATGTCTATCCAATGGCAAGGTCTCACCACTCGAGGGCAGAATAAAGACTTGGCCTTTGGAGCCTGATTCCAAAACCTGGCATCTACTAAAACACACTACATCCTCCATCAATCGCAGCCAGCCAAGTACTCATTGCCAGCGCCTCATTGACATTCTGTATTGGCCAGTCGTGGGAGGTCGAGAAGGTATTATTACCCTTAAGGAAGGAAACAGAGGCTCTGAAGGGAAAGAAAATTGTCCCACAACAAATCCTGAGCCAATGGTGTTGCTAGAACAAGAACCCAAATGTCTCAGAGTCCTTTCCCAGGGAAGTCACCCAGGATGTAGTCAGGTGCACAAGTTTTAGAGCTGAATCAGGGATTTGCAAGCTGTGGCTCTGGGCAAGTGCAATTACTCTATGGCTTTTGCTCATTTGTAAAGTGGATGTATATATCCACATGCACTAGATCCTGTGGGTGTCTTTCTCTGCCTCCATTATCCTCTAGTCACTCCTAATTGAACCCTGGTTTTATGTACATCTCTAGCCCTCCTAGAAATGACCCTGGATCTGTCCACTACTATCTTGTCATTTGCCAGTGAATTTAGTAGCTGCCAGGAGAATGGAGCAGAGAGAAAGAGACAGGATCCTTCTCATGTTGAACCACTTTCATCAAGAGTCCAGTCTTATTATAGACTTCCAGTAAAGGAGACAGTAGATGGAGTCTGCCTGAATCAAGGTTTCTGTGACCAGCCCTAGAACATGCATGGCAGATGTACTATAGACAGGACATGCCAGCTACTGAGATAGCCCTGTAAGATGCTCATGGCAGTGTCCCATAGGATAGCCTGTGTGGCCAGGAGAAAATGGGGACCATATTGACTGTTCTTCTATTGTTCATAGAGACCACAGAGTGCCAGCTGAGACCCAGGCCCCAGAGCCAGCCACCTGGGTTTAAATCCCAGTTGTGGGGTTACTAAGTATGTGTGATCTCAGGCAAATCACTTAACATTTCTGTATATCCTTTTCCCTACCTTTAAAATTGAGATGATGATGGTGGTGGTGGTGGTGGTAATGGTTATGCCTACTTATTAAGTTATTGCAAGAATCAAGTGAGTTAGAATGTGTAAACCCTTCAGAATGGTATAAGCTCCCAATAAATGTCAACTTCAATTATCATCATATTTGCTTTGAAAAGGTAGCTGAGACCTTGCTGGGCTGTATTGTATTTCTGACCTCCTGTCTTGCAGGGGGTGGAGGCAGTTGCTTTTGGGAGCTTGGGTTCCAGTGTAGATTCTGTCATGACCTTGTCCTGGGACATTTAAGGACTCAAACCCCATCTCTGGGCTTAAGTTATTGAGAAAAAAATGGGAAAATATCAGAGAGAGAGAGAGAGAGACAGAGAGCAAATGAGAGAGAGCAATAAAGGGGTAGAAGGGGAAGATGGGTTGAGATTGCAAAGGAAACTGGAAAGGGTACAGAACAGAGAGGGAAGCAAGGAATAAGGAATAAAGGGAAGTGGAAACAAACCAAGGACCACAGAAGAAGGAAGATGAGAGAAAAGCAGAGTTTCACTTTTCTCCATTCACATCCCAAGCGGAACCCTCTAAAAACAGAAACTATAGAGGATGGGGGTTTTCCTTGTAAACAATTTTAATATGACTGAGCTTCCTTTCACAAGCACGCAGATTATGGATTTCAAACTACCTAACAATTTCAATGTCCTCTAAGAGTGAGTAACACTATCTTCCTCATCATCAAAACTTCCCACTGTTAAAACTGAGTGGGGTTAGATGAAAGGGAATAATATATACGAAGTAATAATCACTGAATCTAACCTATAGTACATGCCC